CCTGACTCCCGTGTGTATGTGCACGTGCCTGCACACATGCGTGGCCTCGTGCTAGTGCATGTGTGTGTCTGTCAATGTGTCTGCCACTCTCAGTCTTTCAGGGTCTCTGCTTCTTTTTCGTTCTGTCCTGTCCCTCTCCCTCGGTCTCCTTTATGTGCTGAGTGTCTCCCTCAGGCCCTGTGGCCCCCTCTGCAGCCTCCACCTCCCACCCCGGTGCATGCAGAATTCATCCCTGTCCCTTGCGGGGAATCCTGCCTGGGGGCAGGGGGTGGGACAGAAAGAAGCCCATGGACGAGCAGATAGTGCCCCATGGCCTTTGGAGACAACATTTAGTCCGCAGAATTTCCAGGGATGATGAGGAAAATGGCCTGAGGTTGCATTTAGCCAGAAGAGGCTACTTAGATTCTAAAGTCTGAGCTTGTCCTCTGGACAGAGTTCACTTTGGAGAACACTGTGCGGCGTGGGGTAAAGGAAGAAACCACTTAGATGGAGGGAGCATCCGTGGTGTGTTTGGGGTCTTTTCTCCCTTAGTTTCTTTTTTTTTTTTTTTAAGATTTATTTATTTATTTATTTGAGACAGAGAGAATGAGAGAGAGAGAGCACATGAGAGGGGGGAGGGTCAGAGGGAGAAGCAGACCCCCCGCTGAGCAGGGAGCCCGATGCGGGACTCGATCCCGGGACTCCAGGATCATGACCTGAGCCGAAGGCAGTCACTCAACCAACTGAGCCACCCAGGCGCCCTCTCCCTTAGTTTCTTTCCCAAACAGAAAGCCACTCGCTTCCCTCTAAGGACACGTACTGCACACCTACTATGTGCCTTGGAGCTAGCATCAGGGACATGCATGAAGAGGGCCCTCAGGAGCCACTGCCTCGAGAGGAAGCTGGCCCCCAAATTAGGCTGACATGAAGCATGACCATGAAGCATGAAGGAGGGATTCCTTAATGGAGGAGCCAGGGGTCAGGGAAGGCTTCTTGGAGGAGGTGCTACCTTCTCCACACTGAGCTGAGGTTTTATCACTGGCCTGGTTTAATTCTTCCTGTGACTCCCTCATCACCCTCAGAACAAAGCCCAAGATCATTATATGTGCCCAGCCCTTAAGGGCTAATGTATAATTAGCCTAATGTATAATTAGTCTAATGAACAGTCCCCTTCTCCCTTCACTTTGGTCTCTACAGTCAGAGTTTTGGGTTCTGCCTCTCCTCTGAGCATCTGCACATGCTGTTCCCTCTGCCTGGAACACTTTCCAAGAGAACTCCATCTGCCAAGATGCCACTTCCTCCTGGAAGTCTTCTCTGACAGCCCCCTGGCCAGGAGGTTCCCTGAAGGAACCCTACCTGAGCACCCACTCCCCTGCACCATCCACATACCTGTCCCTCCCACCTGACGCTGTGTGTTTCCAGAAGGTGAGAACCTTATCAGTTCTCTGCTCTGTCCCAGGCCCTCAGCATTATGATGGCACAGAGGAGCGTCTCAGGAAATGTAGGGTGAATTATTGAGTTGGATTTTTTTTAAAAAAGATGTCACAGAGGGGCACCTGGGTGGCTCAGTCGTTAAGCATCTGCCTTCGGCTGAGGTCATGATCCCGGGGTCCTGGGATCGAGCCCCGCATCGGGCTCCCTGCTCAGCGGGAAGCCTGCTTCTCTCTCTCCCCCTCTCCCTCCCCCTCCCCGTCTTTGTGTTCCCTCTCTCGCTGTGTCTCTCTGTCAAATAAATAAATAATCTTATAAAAAAAAAAAAGATGTCACAGAGATCCCCCAATAACTCCTGACCAAGCAGAATCGGAGGCCTCAGACCTGCTCAGCTTATGACCTTGTGCTGTCTCAGACTTGTCTATGAGGAGAGAGAGGCTTCCTCACATCCAGCAGGTTTCCTCTGGTTCCAGAAGGCCAATGCTGTGCAGAGGACCCCGCTCCCAGTCCACCTGGCCCTTGCCCCACACTGAGAAGTCCCCACTCTTAGGATGACGCAGCTCACGTACCAGTCCCTGGACTCCGGTGGGAAAGAGTCCGAGCCCTCCTCTGCTCCTCGCCAGAAAAGGCACTGTGCTGGCTTCATTAGGTCTGCCGTGGATAGGGGTCACGGAGTAGCTGCCCAAATGCTCATCTGGGCCGTCCCTGCCCCAAAAGTTCCATTGCTCAAATGAAGGGAAATGTGAGCCTTCATGGCCTGGGGATAGGACCTGTCCTTGATACAGAATTATCCTTTGAGTTCCAGTTAAAGTACCGACTTTTTCAAGAGTCAAACCTTACTCCTAGGCACACGGAGCTCCCTTGGACCCAGTGCCCTTCCTTGTTGGAATCTGGTGAGCGTGGGTCAGCCTCAGGCCTGCCAGATGCTAGTGTGGTCCCCCATCTGCTGACCGCAGCTGAGGGTGTGACTCTCAGCTCTGCCCCCATAGCTGAGACTGTTCACTCACCCCCTCCAGGCCTCGGCTTCCTCCTCGGAGAAGAGGAGACAGTAGGATCCAACTCACGGGGTTGCCGCGGGGATTCGGCAAGACATATATGTAAAATTCTTAGCCTAACTCCAGCCGCACGGTAAGCACTCAATACGTGGTAGCTAGTTTTATTATTTTCTTGATAATTTATTATTTTGATTATTAGCTAAAAAGTGAGTTTGGGTGTCTTTCTGCTCTGGAACTCAGGCAGTCATTTGAGGTATGGGTCCGGGCAGAGTGGGAAACCTGATTGCCAGCAGGGGCTGGGAAGGCTGAAGGGCCAAAGCTAATAGGAGGGCAGCCCGCGAGCTACAGTTGTTGCTAATTGCAACCTGATTTCTCCAAGCTCCGGATCAGGCCTCCAGCTCACGCCTCCTTAGAAATGACCTGCTACATGGAGAACACAGTTGAACCTGTGGCTAATGCCCATGTCAGGGAAAATGCAGAGCATGTTCATGGAGCTCTTTCCATTTTGCCTGTGGCTTAGGGCTGATTCAGAAGTGACTGTTGGCTGAGCCTGGATCCTTATGATGAGCTAGGAAATAGCTTCTGAATTCTGTCTTTCCAATGACAAAGGGCTGCTTGGGTGAGGACCTGAGGCCGAGGAGGAGTTGCCCGAGTGGGTGAGTCAGGGAAGGGCAGTCCACATAGAGAACAGCATGTGCAAAGCTGGTGAGGGAGAGAGCCTCATTCAGGGCAGCTCTGGGCATCTAGAGCAGAAAGTGAAGTGGGGACAGCAGATGATGAGGTGGGCAAGGAATCTTGTGCCAGGGTGTAAATCATGCAAGGCCTTATAAGCCACGTGAAATACATTGGCCTTTATCCTAAGGGCCTTAGGGACCAGAGACCAGACTTAAGCAGGAGAAATACCCATTTATTTCTCCATCAGGGTGCTTTCCTCAACCCTCCTAGCCTGGACAGAGAGTAATCCTTTCTCCATTCATCTTGGCTCTGGGACAGGTCATGGCTGAGCTCAAAGGCACCTGAGTATAGAGGACTCCAGGAAACAGGAAGAAACTGATGTCCCAGCTCTTATAGGACCATTAAGAAATGTCACAAACAAGCAGGCTGTGATGGCATTTTGGTTCCGTAGGAAGAGCAAACATCCGGATAGGAATCCTGCCAAGGAGGTGTTCTAGCAGGAAGCGGCAGGGTGAATGGGGCCTGCCAACAGGGAGGAGGGATGGGAGGGATGTCATCAGGCCAGCAAAGCCCTCATAGGCAGGCGGCCTCCCTGCCTGACACCCCTTTCAAGACAGGTAGATGGCAGCACCCTCATTTTACACGGGAGGAAACCAGGGCCCAGAGAGATGTGCCCCAAAACACACAAGTACCAAGTGACAAACGCAGGTCTGTCTGATGGACCCAAAGTGCATCCTCTTTCCTGATGTCACACGCTTCTTCCTCCCTGGTCCTCTCAAGACCAAGGCCACAAGCACTGCCCCATGCTCAGCCTGGTATCTGCATCTTCTGGCAGGACGTTGGAGTAGCTGAGAAAGGGGCTCCAGCAGCCTCAGATTCACAGACGTCCAGCTTAGAGTCATCAGGGAAAAAATAGCTTCTCTCTCCCCAGTTTCCAAGATCCGTCCCAGGAAAAACTCTGATTGGCCTTCCTTGGGTCACATGCCCCCTTATGACCCAACCCCAGAGAAATCACAGTGCACTGACTGACCAGCTGCTCTTGACAGGATGGGGGGGCTGTGATGGATTTCCCCTCATCCAGGACCACAGGTAGGTGTTTAATCTTGATTTGGGGGGGGGGTGTCAGGAAAGGCTTCCCAGAGGAAGTGACTTCTCCACTGAGACCTGAAGTCTAAGTAGGAGTGTTCTAGGCAAAGAGACAGACAGGGACTAGCAGTACAAAGGCTCAGGGATGCTTCAGAGCATGTCTTGCTCATAGCCATACCCCCTGCCTAATGCACAGCCTGCCTTCCCGTGACTGCTCAGAAACTGCTTCAGAAATGAAATCCACAAGTGGCTGTGTGGCCTTAGACAAGTCACTTGCCCTCTCTGAACTTCAGCTTCCTTCTCTACACAGTGGTTTCATTGTCCTAATGTTTCAGGACTATGCAAGACAGTTCATTCAGGCCCCAAATATTCATGGAGCACTTCCTCTGTGTTCAGCGTTGTACAGGGCCTGCAGAAGACCAGGCCTGCCCTAGAAAAGGAAAGCCTGCTCGTGGCTTATGTACACGGCCAGACCTGCTGCCAGAAATCCAATGGGGTCCAAGGGGAGGGACAGGACAAAGGGAGAGGCTCGGGGCAATGAGGGTGGGCCATGGGTTCTGCCTTCCCCCTCCCCACCCCTCCACCTCCATCCCCTCCTTCCCACCCTCCACCCTCCCACCCCACCAGCCCTGTGACCACATACCACCCTGGGGCCACCATATCTGTGCAAGGGCAGTCAGACCTTTCTCCCCTTGCCTTTGCCCCACAGCTCTGTAACCTGAATAACAGGTTGCAACAGACATTCTTGCAGGAACAAGAAGAAACTTTTCGGTTTGAGTGGCTACGGAGGCAATTCTTGCCCCACCCTGCGTACCAGTCCCAAGCGCCTTTTTCCCTCCCTCCCCACCCCCAGCAGACCGGGTCCTGGAAGCCAGGACGCTGGAGCTAAAGCCTCCAGAGCACCTACGGGCTGGCAGGGTGAGCCGGGTGGGGACTCAGGAGACTGGAGAGCCCTGCAGGTGCTGAGGGGACAGTTGGGGACTCAGCCAGGAGGGACACTGAGCTGGAAGAGCCCTCACCACCCCTGCCCCTCCCCCCCCGCCTCCCCCCCCCCCCCCCCCCGCCGCCCTGAAGCCAGAGTCCCTGCTTGACATGGGCAGGACAGCGCGAAGCTAGCCCCTTACCCAGGTATGTATCCCAGCCTCTATCTCTGTCCTCTCTCGTCTCTCTCTGAATGGCACTGTCTTTTTCTCCCTCTGAATCTGGGTGAATGCATGTCCTAAGTATTTGCTCTTTACCTCTGCCCCTTTATCTGTTTTCCTCCTCTGTCCCTGCCTTGTTCTTTCTCTGTGTGTTCCTCTGTATCTCTGCCATCCCCGCTTCCCCTTGTCCTTTGTCTCTCCAAGTTCTGTCTCTGGCATGCTCTCTGTCAATATCAATGTCTGTCTAGTCATCTGTGCACCCTCATCCACCTGACCCTGTTCCCATCCTTCCATCCTGTCTGGCCCCCAGCTCCACGGGACATCCTTCCAATGTCATCCATGGGCCTGGGCTCCCAGACTCTAGGTCAGATCCCATGAACATTCAAAAGCATACTCTTGTATCTGAACAAAAGTGGGGGGGTGATAATTTGAATTTCAGGAAGTTAAAGTTCTATAAAATCTCTGTGGGTGGGGTCAGGCACCAGCTCACCTTTCTTTCCTGGAAGGACCTAGACAGCAGGCCAGAGTGGGTGGGGACATTTTCATACTTATCAAAAGGAAATGTAGATTTGCTCTTGCTTTTGTTTAAATATCAAGGACTGACTCAGCCCAACTGTTTCAGTGGCAGGTATTAAGCCTCGGGTCTCTTATCTGGGTCCTTGGTGGTTGGGCTTTGGAGGCCATGTCTGTTGAGATGGATTCTCAGGATAAAGAAGATTCTCGAGTGGGGAGTGGAAGAGTAGTGGGAGCAAGTCCTTGCAGTCAGAGCTGCTCCAGCTGGCTAGAGACTTGAAACAGTTGCCACCAGCCTTACCCTCCCCTCCCCTAGGTTTCTAGAGACCTACTGGGGGTCTTCACAGCTGCTGAATCACTGGTAACTGCCCAGCACTTCGGGGGTGGCACAGGTGAAAGGTGGGACCTAGGGCTCGAGAAGGGATGAAACTCCAGTTTCAACTCTCCTCTGGGACAAAAGGCCCTGGCAGTGGGACCCTGTGGGGATTGGGCAGTGGAGACCTGCATCCAAATCCTGGCTGTGACCCTTACAAGCTGAATAACCCTGGGCTTAACCATGGTGAGTCCTGGCTTACCTACCCCTAAAATGGGGAAGCATGAGGATTAAAAGAGGTATATGCATATATAGCACCCCACGCAAACTCACCTGTAATGTGAGCATTCTCATTACTCTTCATGTTGGCACTTCAGCAGAAATCACTTGAGCTTTTGTTTCCTGATGTTTTACTGGAGTTAGCCAGCTCAATGTCTCTCAGCTGGCTGGAGGGATGGAGGGATGGACGGATGGAAGGGTGGAAGGGTAGAAGTATGGACGGGTGGAAGGATGGAAGGATGGATGGATGGATGGGTGGATGAATGAATAAATCAATCCTCCAAGAGACAGTGGCTGGCAGACTACACCTTCCTCTACCTGCCAATCTCTGTACCCAAGAAAGACATGTTGAATTGAATATAAGATTCTAGGAGCAAAAGTGAAGGAAAGGTGGAGGCAGAGAGTGAACAGATGGCAGATGGTGAGGAACCAAACTGAAAGGTCTGTGATCTCCTCAGTCAAGGTACCTGTCCCTAATCGTGCATCTTATTCATTTTCAGACCCCAGGTGCCAGTTTCCAATTTGATTTCCTTCTCTCCACGGGCTAACGCTGACCCCAAGCCGCTCCTCACCTGGACAAGATGAGAGTGTCAGGTAGGGGCCATGTTCCGAGGATTCAAAGTCTCAACGTTGAGGTCTGATATGGGTTTAGGAATCATTTTTTCTATCAGGAATGCAGTCAGTCCCTAGACTCAGAGGTTGTTTGACTGTCTATGCTCTCAAATGTTCAGACCAGACTAACTCCAGAAGGAAACCCATCCAGGGGGAGCCTGGAAGAGGGGAAAAGGCAACTTGCTGCCCCTAGGCTGAAGGGCTGGAGAAGCTTTGGCATCATGGGGACTGACCCAGTTCAGAGCACAAGTTTTAGAGTCAGCACACGTTCCTGGGTTCAAACGCTGCCTCTGTCACTTACCAGCCAAGTGACCGCCTCCCTGAGCCTATTTCCTTATCTGCAAAATGGGAATGATCAGTAGTACCTGACGGAGATTTACCATGAGGATGAACTGAGATAATGTGAACGGATACCCAGGGAGAATTCTGGGTGCCTCCCACCACACTGTCCCCCAGAAGATGAGGGACCCCCCCAAAGACCTGAGCCCTGCCCCACAGGATTCAGGGGGCCTTCTCCCCCACCCCAAGTAGCCAGAGGCCAGCATAAGACCCCAGAGCTGAATTCAGGGCCACGCAGAGGTCAGGGGCGGAGCTAGAGAACATGGCTTGATGGCAGTGGGGCCACCGAAGTCCCTGAGCTGGGAGGCATAGTGGAGCCCGCTTCTGGCCCTCTTGGGAGAGTGAGGGAAGGGAGCGAGACCGGGAGCTCTGGGAGCTCTGGAGACCAGGAGTCTGTCCTGTGTGGGGTCGCTCCCCATTGATGCAGAAGCAGTCAGGCTGTGAGGCCAGGGAAGCCACCTCAGCAAGGCCAGCGTGTGTTCCTATAGACAGCATTGTGTGGTTATTTGTGGCTGCTTTCAGGGGGAGCAATGGAAAATGTGAGGGACCAGCCCCTGCCCCAAGCCACTCTGGAGGCTGCCTACTAGTGACAACTGTCACCTCCCTCCCAACAAGCTGTGGGTTCAGAAGCGAGGCTGTTGAACCATGTCCACTCTGTGACTGAGGCACTCCTGCCCAGAGAGGCTGAGCGTCTGCCCGAGGTCCCACAGTGGCACTGGCTGCCTGGAGCGCTGGACGCAGCCTTCCCAACTTCTGTGGCGGGGCTCACCCCTCGGGCTGTCAGCAGCAGAACCTGCCTCCTGTTTTGCTGCCACACACTCAGGCCTCACCACAGGGTGCTGGATAAAAGTGCAGATTCCCAGGCCTCACCCCTAAGGAGTCTGTCTCTGGATGGCTAAGTGGAGCCCAGAAAGGAGCATTTCTAACCTTTTCTCCCAGTGGACCCACTTTGGGAAATGTGGCCACGTAATCCTGCAGCATGATCTCACCATTTGGTCATTGCATGGATTCACACATGGTCTCACCCCGTGGTCTCCTGACCTGGTCCAAGGTGTGGGCTACAACACGGGGTCTCCTGCTGGGGTCTCATGACATGGTCTCACTGTGGGGATTTGGTAAGGACTCACAAGTGAACTTGCTATGTGGCCTTGTGATGTGGCTTCATGGCAGGATCTCCTTGCGCTACAGGTATGCTTCGCCTCCTGGCCCTTATCTTTGCCCTGGTCGCCACATGGATCTTTATTAGCAGCTACATCAGCTTCAACATGAAAACTCTCCGTCTGCCCCGCTGGCTAGGTGAGTGGGGATCACTGCTGGGTGCAGGGACTGTGGACCAGGACGGGGCCAAGGATATTCCTCCCTCCATCTATGGGTGACCCAGGAGACAGCCAGACATGGCAGGGTGTGCACAGCCTTTGGGACTCCAGCCTTTGTGGGGGTGGAGGCTTCCAGGAAGGCTGGAGCCCATGGGGAGCAGAGAAGTGTTCCAAGGCCCTGGCTATAACATGTGCCTGCATCAAGGGCCATTTTGGAAATGTGATTCCAAGAAAGAAGAAGGACAGAGGGAGGAAGAAAAGAAGGAAGGAGAGGGGAGGAAAAGAAGGGAGTCAAGAGAGACAAAACTGAGCACTGAGTGGCATCCAACTGCAGCTGCTATCACCTCTTCCTGAAACACTCTTCACACAGATGTTCCTGTAGGCAGCTCTTCTCCAACTTCAGGTCTCTGCTCAAATGTGACCTCCTCAGAGAAGCCTTACCCAAGAACCCCAGCTGCAGCCATGCCCCCTCCCTCTACTTTAGCCCCTATATCAGCCTATTTCCTTCAGAGCTTCACCATCAGCCATCATTAGGGTGTTTATTTATTTGTCTATTTGGTTGTTGTCGATCACCATTCCCTAGAATGTAAGCTTCTTGAAGGCAAGGATTTTATCTTGTGTACCTCCATTTCTCTAGCCTCAGTGCAGGGCAGATGCTCAGTAAACATTTGATGAATGAAAGAAAAATGAATGGATGGATGGATTAATGATGGATGGGTGGATTGATGGATGGTGGATGGAAGGGTGGGTGAATGGATGGATGGATAGGTGGGTGGATAGATGATGGGTGGATGGATGGGTGGATGGATGGTGAATGGATGGGTGGGTGGGTAGATAATGGATGAATGATGAATGCATGAATAGATGAATGGGTAGATGGATGGTTGGGTGATGGATGGATGAGTAGATGATGGATGGGTGAATGAATGATGTATGGATGGATGATGGATGAGTAATGGATACCAGTTACTTAATGCATAATCTCACATAATCTGCACAAACGGCCCCATGAAGTGATCCATGGTGTGGTTGTGGAGTGGGTTCCTACATGACCTCATGGTGTGGTTTTATGTGTAGTCTAAGAAAAGAGAAGCTCAGGGAGCTTCAGGGAGATGAAGAAAGTTGCCCAAATTTCCCTTATAGATGTCAGCAGGAATGGAAACCCAAGTCTCTCAGGTCCAAATCCTTTCAAAGGAAGGAAAGAAAGGGAAGGGATTTATGTCTCTGCATTTGTCCTCCTTGGATTTAGAGAACGACCTCCACTGACATAGTCAAACTTAATAACCTCTAGTGGCCCAGGCTAGCTCACAGCTTCACAGCAGTGAGAAGCCAGTCACCCCATAAGAGGAGTCTCCGAGATCCCACACCTCATCCACTTCTTGTCAAGCATGGCTCACATCAGGATGAATTATACAGACCCATGGTGGCCACCCTGTCCCCAGCCCCAGGGCACTGCTCTTACAGAGATGGACTTGGCTGTGCTGACAGCCTGGGAAGAGATGGGCCCAGGTCAGTGTAGGAGGCTCAGAGCAGAAGTGGAACTCAGGGGCATCCTATAGAAGAGAGAGTCCCAGCCTGAAGTGAGAGAGAGGACAGTGTTTGAAAGTACACCCCAGAACTCAGCTACCTGAAGTCTGATGAATCAGTACCTCCAACCAACAGTCATGGAGCAACAATTCTGTATTAGGTCCCACGGACCGCAAAATGAGAAACATGTGGCTCACGTTCATGGTCTGAGTCGGGCACACAAACAGGCTTGATTACAGGATATACAAAAACAAAAGTGATGATCCAGAGTCTTGAGAAATGCTTACAGTGACAGGACAGATAACCAATGGGAAAAGTGGCCTTGGAAAACCATGAATGTTCAGCCACGGAAAGGAGTAATACTCATTTTCTTCAGAGGTTCCTAGCCTGGCTGCACAGACCCCCCACCTTATTATTTAATGCATTAATATAGGAGCACATATATTACTGTAGCACAAATTTATGTTTTAATATTTTATTATTATATTGATATATAGTTGGTTTCCATTCTAATCTATTTTATTTTATGCATTTAATAACATGCTCTGTTAGAGTAGGTAGTGCTGTGTGCACGCACGTGGGCGCGAAGGGGGGTGGCAGCAGTGAGGGAGGACTCCCTGACAGGATGGGACTTTTAGAGCTCAATTTAACATCCTCCACGGGAGGAGAATGCTTGGCCCAGCCAATGCCACTTCCCCAGCCTTCAGCAGGGGGCGCCCAAAGCACCTTCTCGCTAACCAGATTGTGTCCTCTGTCCAGCAGGTTTGGAATCCCAGGCAATCCGTGAGTATCACCCCAACCCTGCCTTTGCCTTAGGGTGAGACTTCCCAGGGCTGCTCCTCCCGGCCCTGCAGGCCCCAGAGAAATCCTGGTGTCCAGAATATGCCCAGCTCTCTCCTCCCATGGCCCCATGGTACCTTCTGAAGCCCCCAAGCCCTGTAGCAGTAGAGGCCTCCTCTCAGCCATTCAGACTGATGGAGATGGTTCAACTCTCCCTTCCCCAGCACCCCCCACCCTGCCATGCAGGCTAGATTGCCTCCCTAGTCACAGCACCTGGCCCTGCACAGCCACCTCCCCACTCTGACCCCCACTGAGCCCGAGTCCTGAAGATGGGCTCTTTGCTTATTATCATCATGCAGACCCCAGGCTTGGTTCACAGTTCCTGTTCCAGAGTACCAAGGGCCATGTGAGGCATCCAGGCACTCCCAGAGGCATACAGAAGGGGGTGCTGATTGTCTGTTGGGGTAGAAGTACCCAATGTGCCAGGAGAGATGGGCAAAGTGTTCTGGGCTCCGGGAGGGCTACCCCCTTCCAGTGGAATGAGGTCAGAGAAGGCATCGGGGAGGGACTGGCAAAGACCTAGAGGCACGAATGTGTGGGGCTGCAGGGGAGATGGTGGCTGGAGAGTCAGGCACTGGGAAGTGGGAATGCTGATGCCTCCAGTGCTGGATACTGCAGACGTCCGAGCAGGGCTTCAGCAAAGACCCCAGCTCCCAAAGCGTGGAGAAGGTGGAAAGGAGGGACAGTTATGATGATGATAATAGTACAATGATGGAGGGCCTACTATGTGCCAGACACCATATTCAGAGCTTTACAGGCATCTCATGCAATCCTCACCACTGCCTTGTGTAGGTGCTCAGACTATCCCCATTTCATAGGTGGGCAAACTGAAGCTCAGAGTAGAAATCTCTTGGCCAAGGCAACACAGTGGTACATAGTGGAGCAGGAGTTCACCTCCAGGCTAGCCCAGAGCCCACCCTCTCCACACCTCCTTTCAAGAGGCAACATCTCCGAGTCCCCCTTCTCCCACCCCAACATAATAGTGACTGAAGAAGGTCATAGTTCCAGGAACAGAATTTTGCCTGAGAAGGGCATGGGAGCCCCTGTGCACTGTGGGATTACAGAGAGCAAAGACCATAATGGATGAACGCAAACCATCCGCCCCACACCTGCGACTCCATTGACCTGAAGCCTCCTGAGTCATATTCTGAAGTAGACACAGAGTGTCACAGCATCTCGGTGCAAACACTCAGGCATCATCTGCTAGGGGCATGGCAAAGCCAGGCACACGTGCTGCCTCCCGCCCTGCCCGCTCTCCTGGTCGACACTGCCAGTCCCAGCCCTTGCCCTCCAGGCCCACAGGTAGCCTCTACAGCTCTATCATTAAGCCTCTAATAGCAGATCCACTGACAGTTCAGAGAAAAGCTATTTGACAGCCCTTATCCTAACCAACTCCCTCGTTTTACACCTGGCAAAGGTAAAGGGAGAGATTCCTGGCGAGTCACGCCTCAGATAACTGAAGAGCAGCCCACATTTCCTGACTGCTCCCCATCCAATGCTCAGCTTCACATCCTCAGCAACAGCACTAGGGGTTCCCAGAGGGCTTGGGTCTCAGGGTTTGAGGCAGCTGGTGGGGGCAGCCCCCCAGCTCGAACCCAGAGAGCAAATCCCCTGCCTCCCAGTGGTTGAGCCCCCTGGACATCAACCCCTTCAACCAGTAGCTGGACCGTGAAGGCTGGATGGTCAGAAAATCCATTCTGGAAAAGCCTGCTTAAGCCAGCCTGTTGACATCAGGTTTATCAGACTTAGCTGCAGTTGATTAGGCTCTGAGCAAACTCTAGGATGGTGTCCAGGGCCTGGAACAATCCCTCTATCATAGGTGAGAACGTCTGGTCTCAAGAGTAAACTGGCCTCTCCATGAGGGGACAGGGGACCAGAGGTTAGGGCCCAAGGCTCATAGGAGAAGAGGACCTCTCCGCACCCTCACCCTCAGCCTTCATCCTCACCTTCGGGCAGGTGCTGGGCCTCCTGAGAAGGGCCCTCTCCAGACGGTGGGGAAGGGGAGTCAGGTCCCCACGTCTCCAGCCCTCTCTGTCCTGAGCCACAGGCCTAGACACCCACTCTCCCCTTAACAGCCCCTTGCGGGTGTCTCAGCTCTTGGCCATCACTCTGGTGACAGTGTCCTGGTTTGAGCTCTGGTTATACCTGAAACTCGGGGGGGGAGGGCGGGGGGGGGCACAGGGCAGAGAGCCTAGGATAGGCATTCCACTCAGGCCTCCCGGGCTACCCACTTGGTGAGGGTACCCTGGCCGGAGTGGCATTCACTCCCAGGAAGGAGCACCTTTACCAAGTCTTGCACCAGTGGACTGTGTCCCCCAGGAGGGGCACTTTTCCCTGGTGCACATAAAGGCTCCCTAGAGGCTGGCAAGATCCTCATCACCCTGACCACATCGTTTCTCCCAGCCTGGAGCCCGGCCCTGCCCAATGCTCTATGCGTTCATTCCGTGAATATTTAGTGAGTGCCTACTATGTGCCAGGCACAGGAGTTCCCGGCACGATTTAACAAGATAATAAATGTAAAGTGCTTGCCACGTGCTCAGCACACAGCAAGCCCTCGGCGTCCGCCAGCTTCTGTCAGGAAGGCTGTGCGTTTGCTCCAAGCCCGGGCTGCCATAGCCCAGCCAGATGCGTGGCCCGGGGCTGGAGCAGAGACGCTGCCCGCTCATGGCTTTCCCTTTGCAGGTGAACTTTCTCTAATTCCATGTTTACCCAGTCCTCCCTAATGGTACTTTCCAAACTGTCAGGTGGTGGTAAAACACACACACAACACGCATTAATATAAATTAGAACCTGCCAGGCTGTAAGCGCTGGTGACGGATATCCCAGCTCACAAGGAGTCCACGGAGGGCCGAGCATCGGCAGCTGTGTTTGGGGGTCTTTCATACATCCCCCGCCTTTCTCGGGCCTCCGGGTCCGCCCTGTGAGGGCCACGTGGAGAGGACGCGGGACTTAATTAGAACCAGGCTCTGCGCGGGAGCTAGAGCTGCAGTGGAAACCCTGAAAAACTCGAGGGCGGTCAGACACACAGCCGGTGTCCTGCGTCTTCGACGGGGATGGCTGGAGGCCCCATGTGCGCCCAGAAAGGGGCAAATCCCCCGCCACCGCCACCCCACCCCCCACCCCCGCCCACTCAGGCGGTCTGCAAAGGCGCCTTGGGGAGGTAGGCCTCTGCGCTAGGTCCGGAGCCTGCCCCGGCCCCTCGCCTGCTGAGCCTGCCCCCCCCCCCAGCCCCTCGCCTGCTGAGCCTGCCCCCGCACCGGCCCCTCGCCTGCTCAACACCCCCCCCACCCCCGGCCCCTCGCCTGCTGAGCCTGCCCCCGCACCGGCCCCTCGCCTGCTCAACACCCCCCCACCCCCGGCCCCTCGCCTGCTGAGCCTGCCCCCCCCCTCCAGCCCCTCGCCTGCTGAGCCTGCCCCCGCACCGGCCCCTCGCCTGCTCAACACCCCCCCACCCCCGGCCCCTCGCCTGCTGAGCCTGCCCCCCCCCCTCCAGCCCCTCGCCTGCTGAGCCTGCCCCCGCACCGGCCCCTCGCCTGCTCAACACCCCCCCACCCCCGGCCCCTCGCCTGCTGAGCCTGCCCCCGCACCGGCCCCTCGCCTGCTCAACACCCCCCCACCCCCGGCCCCTCGCCTGCTGAGCCTGCCCCCGCACCGGCCCCTCGCCTGCTCAACACCCCCCCACCCCCGGCCCCTCGCCTGCTGAGCCTGCCCCCCCCCTCCAGCCCCTCGCCTGCTGAGCCTGCCCCCGCACCGGCCCCTCGCCTGCTCAACACCCCCCCACCCCCGGCCCCTCGCCTGCTGAGCCTGCTCCCCGGCTGGCCGCTCCCCTGACTCCTCCCGAGCCCCTTCCCCAGCTGCCTCCACCAAGGGTTGGTCTGTTCCCTCCACAGCGGTCGTGAGGACCAAGTGTGGTCTCAGCAAGCCCTGCCCGGACAACTTCTTTGCCTTTAAAATCAGCAGCGGAGCCGCTAACGTCGTGGGCCCCAAGATGTGCTTCGAAAACCTTGTGTACGTTTCTTGCGTTTCCTTTCTTTTCATGGTTCATTCGGAAATTCGGAGGCTGCAAGGGCAGGCCCTGTGAGCGGCCCACACCTTCCACTCGCGTCCTTTTCCTCTGGGTGGAGGAGGCACAAATAACAATTACCCGGACAGCTTCCTCATCCGCCAGCACCTCCCTAAATGCTTCCCGGCTTCCTCTCATTCAATCCCCCAACCCTCCCAGAGGTGGGGCTACAATTATCCCCTTTGCAAAATGAGGAAATGGAGGCTCAGACAGCATTACCCAGCTGAATGGTGGCAGAGTTAGGATTTTGAACTGGTCTGCCTGACAGCCAAGCTCCTGGGCTTCTATAAAGGGGAATGCCTCTGGGGAGAGTTCAAAATCAAGACCCAGGCATCAAATTCAGATGCAGCAGATGCCAGGGCTTCCATCCAGGTACAAGACAAAGACTACCCATTATCCAAACCAGATGGTAAAGGCCCTGGGGCAGTAAGTTTATCCTACAAAAGGAGCCAGAGACTGATGGGGTTTTTTATTTCTTTATTTAAATTCAGTTTAATTAACATACACTGTATTATTAGTTTCAGAGGTAGAATTTAGTGATTCATCAATAGCACACAACACCCAGTGCTCATCACATCACGTGCCCTCAATGCCCATCACCCAGTTACCCCCTCCCCCCCTCCCACCTCCCCTCCAGCAACCCTCAGTTTGTTTCCTATGATTAAGACTCTTATGGTTTGCCTCCCTCTCTATTTTCATCTTATTTTTCCTTCCCTTCCCCTGTGTTATCTGTTTTGTTTCTTAAATTCCACATGTGAGTAAAAATCATATGGTATTTGTATTTGACTTATTTCGCTTAGCATAATACACTCTAGTTCCATCCACCTCCTTGCAAATGGCAAGATTTCATTCTTTTTTATGGCTGAGTAATACTCCTTTGTAGATATATACCACATCTTCTTCATTCATTGTCAGCGGGTATCTGGGCTCTTTCCATAGTTTGGCTTTTGTGGACATTGCTGCTATAAACATTGGGGTGCAGGTGCCCCTTCAGACCACTATGTTTGTATCCTTTGGATAAATACCTAGTAATGCAATTGCTGGGTCGTAGGATAGCTCTATTTTTGACTTCTTGAGGAACTTCCATACTGTTTTCCAGAGTGACTGCACCAGCTTGCATTCCCACCATCAGTGTGGGAGGGTTCCCCTTTCTCCGCATCCCCGCCAACACCTGTTGTTTCTGGAGTTGTTAATTTTAGCCATTCTGACTGGTGTGAGGTGGTATCTCATTGAGGTATTGATTTGCATTTCCCTGATGCTGGGTGATGTTGAGCATTTTTTCATGTATCTGTTGGCCATTTGTATGTTGTCTTTGGAGAAATGGCTGTTCATGTCTTCTGCCCATTTCTTGATTGGATCATTTGTTTTTTGGGTGTTGAGTTTGATAAGTTCTTTATAGATTTTGGATACTAGCCCTTTATCTGATATGTCATTTGCAAATACCTTCTTCCATCCTGTAGGTTGTCTTTTGGTTTGTCATCTGTCTCCTTTGCTATGCAAAAGCTTTTTATCTTGATGAATTCCCAATAGTTCATTTTTGCCCTTGCTTCCCTTGCCTCTGGAGATGTGTCTAGCAAAAAGTTGCTGCGGCTGAGGTCACAGAGGTTGCTGCCTGTGTTCTCCTCTAGGATTTTGATGGATTCCTGTCTTTTAGGTCTTTAATCCATTTTTAGTTTATTTTTGTGTGTGGTGTAAGGAAATGGTCCAGTTTCATTCTCTTGCATGTGGCTGTCCAGTTTTCCCGACACCATTTGTTAAAGAGACTGTCTTTTTTCCACTGGATATGCTTTCCTGCTCTGTTGAAGACGAGTTGACCATAGAGTTGAGGGTCCATTTCTGGGTTCTCAATTGTGTTCCATTGATCTATGTGCCTGTTTTTGTGCCAGTACCATACTGTCTTGATGATGATAGCTTTGTAATAGAGCTGGAAGTCTGGAATTGTGATGCTGCCGGCTTTGCTTTTCTTTTTCAACATTCCTCTGGCTATTCGGGGTCTTTTCTGGTTCCATACAAATTTTAGGATTATTTGTTCCACTTTGTGAAAAAAGTTGATGGTATTTTGATAGAGATTGCACTGAATGTATAGATTGCTGTAGGTAGCACAGACATTTTAACAATATTCTTCTAGTCCATGAGCATGGAAAGTTTTTCCATTTCTTTCTGTCTTAATTTCTTTCATGAGTGTTCTATTGTTTCCAGAGTACAGATCCTTTGCCTCTTTGATTAGGTTTATTCCTAGGTAGCTTATGGTTTTGGTGCAGTTGTAAATGGGATCAATTCCTTAATTTCTTTCTTCTGTCTCATTTTTAGTGTATAGAAATGCAACTGATTTCTGTGCATTGATTTTATATCCTGCCACTTTGCTGAATTCCTGTATGAGTTCTAGCAATTTTGGGGTGGAGTCTTTTGGGTTTTCCACATAGAGTATCGTGTCATCTGCAAAGAATGAGAGTTTGACTACTTCTTTGCTGATTCGGATGCCTTTTCTTTCTTTTTGTTGTCTGATTGCCGAAGCTAGGACTTCTAGTACTCTGTTGAACAACAGTGGTGATAGTTGACATCCGTGTCCTGTTCCTGACTTTAGGGTAAAACCTCTGTTTTTCCCCATTGAGTGTTGTTCGCTGTGGGCTTTTCATACATGGCTTTTATGATACTGAGGTATGTTCCCTCTGTCCCTACACTGTGAAGAGTTTTAATCAAGAAAGGATGCTGTACTTTGTCAAATGCTTTTTCTGCATCTATTGAGGATCATATGGATCTTGTTCTTTCTTTTATTCATGTGGTGTATCACATTGATTGATTTATGGGTGTTGAATCACCGTTGCAGCCCAGGGATAAATCCCACTTGGTCGGAGTAAATAATCCTTTTAATGTATTATTGTTGGGTCCTGTTGGCAAGTGTCATGGTGAGAATTTTTACATCCATGTCTATCAGGGATATTGGTCTGTAATTCTTTTTGGTGGGGTCTTTGGTTTTGGGATCAAGGTAATGCTGGCCTCATAGAATGAGTTTGGAAGTTTTCCTTACATTTCTATTCTTTGAAACAGCTTCAGAAGAATAGGTATTAATTCTTCTTTAAATGTTTGGTAGAATTCCCGTGGGAAGCCATCCGGCCCTGGACTCTTGTTTGTTGGGAGATTTTTGATGACTGCTTCAATTTCCTTGCTGGTTATGGGTCTGTTCAGGTTTTCTAGTTCTTCTAGTAGTTTATAAGTGTCCAGGAATGCATCCATTTCTCCCAGATTGCCTAATTTGTTGGCATATAGTTGCTTATAGTATGTTACCATTTTTTGTATTTGGTGTTGGTTGTGATCTCTCCTCCTTCATTCGTGATTTTATTTGCTTGGGTCCTTTCTCTTTTCTTTTTGATAAGTCTGGCTAGGGGTTTATGGATCTTATTAATTCTTTCAAAGAACCAGCTCCTAATTTTGTTGATCTGTTCCACTATTCTTTTGGTTTCTATTTCATTGATTTCTGCTCTAATCTTTTTTTAAATTTTATTTTATTATGTTAGTCACCATACATTACATCATTAGTTTTTGATGTAGTGTTCCATGATTCATTGTTTGCCTATAACACCCAGTGCTCCATTCAATACATGCCCTCCTTAATCTGCTGTAATCTTTATTAATTCTCTTCTGCTGGGTTTAGTGTTTATTTGCTGTTCTTTCTCCAGCTCTTTTAGGTGTAAGATTAGGTTGTGTACTTGAGACTTCTCTTGTTTCTTGAGAAAAGCCTGTATTACTATATACTTCCCTCTTAGGACCACCTTTGCTGCATCCCAAAAGTTTACAACAGTTGTGTTTTCATTTTCATTTCTTTCCATGAATTTCTTAAATTCTTTAATTTCCTGGTTGACCCATTCATTTTTAGTAAGATGCTCTTTTAACCTCCATGTATTTGTGTTCTTTCCAAATTTCCTCTTGTGATTGAGTTCAAGTTTTAAAGCATTGTGGTCTAAAAATATGCAGGGAATAATCCCAGTCTTTTGGTACTGGTTGAGACCTAATTTGTGACTCAGTATGTGATCTATCCTGGAGAATGTTCCATGTGCACTTGAGAAAAATGTATATTCTGTTGCTTTAGGATGGAATGCTCTGAATGTATCTGTGAAGTCAATCTGGTCCAGTGTGTCATTCAAAGCCCTTGTGTCCTTGTTGATCTTCTGCTTAGACAATCTGTCCATTGCTGTGAGTGGAGTGTTAAAGTCCTCTACTATTAGTATATTATCAGTGTGTTTCTTTAATTTTGTTATTAATTGGTTTATATACAGCTGCTCCCATGTTAGGGGCATAAATATTTACAATTGTTAGATTTTCTTGTTGGATAGACCCTTTAATTATGATATAGTGTCCTTCCTCATCTCTTATTACAGTCTTTGGTTTAAAATCTAATTTGTCTGATATAAGGATTGCCAACCCAGCTTTCTTTTGATGTCCATTAGCATGATAAATTGTTCTCCACCCCCTCACTTTCCAACCTGGAGGTGTCTTTGGGTCTAAAATGAGTCTCTTGCAGACAGCATATTGATGGGTCTTGTATTTTTATCCAATATGATACCCTATGTCTTTTGAATGGGGCATTTAGCCCATTTACATTCAGGGTAACTATTAAAAGATATGAATTTAGTGCCATTGTATTGCCTGTAAGGTGACTGTTACTGTATATTGTCTGTGTTCCTTTCTGGTCTATGTTACTTTTGGGCTCTCTCTTTGCTTAAAGGATCCCTTTTAATATTTCCTGTAGGGCTGGTTTAGTGATCACAGATTGTTTTAGTTTCTGTTTGTCCTGAAAGCTCTTTATCTCTTCTTCTATTCTGAATGACAGCCTTGCTGGATAAGGTATTCTTGGCTGCATATTTTTCTCATTTAGCACCCTGAATAAATCATGCCAGTCCTTTCTGGCCTGCCAGGTCTCTGTGGACAGGTCTGCTGCCAGCCTTATTGTCTACCCTTGTAGGATAAGGACCTCTTGTCCTGAGCTGCTTTCAGGATTTTCTCTTGAAACAGGTGTTTTAATAGGGATTCTGGGGTGCCTGGGTGGCTCAGTCAGTTAGACGTCTGCCTTTAGCTCAGGTCATGATCCCAGAGTCCTGGGATCAGATCCCACATCGGGCTCCCTGCTCTGCATGGAGTCTGCTTCTCCCTCCATGCCTCCTCCCACTCGTGTTCTCTCTCTCTCTCTCTCTCAAATAAATAAATGAAATCTTAGGTTCAAAATCCCTATTTTTTTTTTTAACTCCAACTCACTTGAGCAAAAGAAAGAACTTAGTGATTCCCATATACAAAATGCACAGATAGCAGGCTTCAGGATCAGCTGGATCCAGAGGTTTAAACCATGTCATCAGGGGTCCCTCTCACACCATCTTTAGCTCTGTTCTCTTTTGTTAGACTCAGTTTTCTCAACATGAAAATGGGTTGCTTTCTGTGAAGGAGGGAGGCCACTGGCTGGCTGACATATCAGCCGAAGCTGGCACCCCACTGGGAAGAGAACTTTCCCATCCAAATTATCCCTATAAAAGTCCCAAGACTGAGTTTCATTGGCTGACCTGGGTCACATGACCATACCTGGCTCAGTCACCGTGAGCAGGGACACAGGATGCTCTACTTGTCCGGGCCTGGAAGACCCGAGGTCAGTCCCAAGAACTACCTAGTCTGAGAGTAGAGAAGGACGGTTTTCCCAAGAAACACCAGAAGACCGGGCTGTGGATGCTAGGCAGGCAGCAACACAGCCGGACCCCACCCAGCAGTCCCAGCCTCTGCGGGATGGCAGCAACGCTCTGGTTTCTGCCTTCTTCCCAGCAGCTGGGCCTCACTGCTTGGGGGAGGTGGGCCGGTCCCACCTCCAACACCTCAGAGCCCCCGGCAGGACCTTGCCTCTTTTCCAAGCAGACTGTTCTCGTCCAAACATGCCATGAGCATTCCTCAGAGAATCCAGCCCACCGCTCGTTTCCAGGAGAAAACAGATGGCCCAAATTATTCTGTGTGTTTCCTAATGCTTCTGCATAGCGCCATGTGGGCCCCCTCAGAGTTCCAGAGTCACAAAAGCAGAGTGTTCGCTCCACACTTGGGACCAACTGTTGTATTTTGTTTTTCTTCTTCTTGTTCAGGATCATGAGTCCTGTGAAAAACAACGTGGGCAGGGGCCTGAACATTGCCCTGGTGAACGGTGAGCTGTTGATCCACCCCCCAGATAGCCCCCACCATGCTCTTAGTACTGCAGACGGGGGCTATGGGAAGGTAGTTAACATTCATTCAACCAGTACTGGCTCAGCTCCTACCACGTGCCTGGGGCCATCCTCTAGTGCATGGGAGGGGAAGCTTGTGGGGACAAAGAGTCTAAAAGACCTGGTCCTACTCTCCAGAGTCCTGACCAGGCCTCTGCTGTGTGCAGCTATCCCAGGAGGATATGCTTCTCCTGTGAAGCATGACCCCATCCTCAAGGCCATGCAGCCTAAACCAACACACATGAAACCATGGGGGGACAACCACCAACAATGTGAGGTGATGAGGTGATTGCACACGTTCATTCATTCATTCAACAAATATTGACAGCAGCTACCCTGTGGTCTCCATGAAGTTGACTGCCAATCCAATGGGGTGAGCATCTATGAAGGAGAAGGAAGCACAGCCCCGAGAACTGGGACACAGAGCTGGGGATGGGGGTCATCAGGGGAGGCTTCCAGAGAGAGGTGTTGGTCAGCTGAGCCCTGAAGGATAGTAGGGGTTGGCCAGAAAAAAAGTAGGGGAGGCTCCTTTGAGGCTGGGGCAACACTGTGCAGGGAGCAGAGAAGGAAGGAGTGGGGAGAGGGATTGGGGGCCACACAGGGTCTTTCTGGATGCACCAGAGAAGGAGGGATGACAGGTGCAGCAGGGAAGGGGGGCAGGCAGGATGGCAGGGTGAGGGGCTAAGCATCTTGCTAAGAAGTATGGGCTTGAAGCTAAGGACAATAGGGAGCCTCAGAAAGGCTGTGAGCAGGGTGTGAGGGCCTAGCCCTGCATTCCAGAAACTTCCTTCCAGCTTGGAGTAGGGAGGCTGGAGGCAGGGAGATGTGGAGGGAGGCCCACAGCCTCACTACCTTGCATGTCTTACAGGGAGCAACTACAGGCCAAGCCTGAAACAGGGACACATTTCAGGAGGGGGTGGGTTTACAGGGACAGAGTCAGGACCAGGTGCTCTGCCCTGGCCAAGACCCTCCTCTCTGCCTTTGGAGAGGCATGGATGAGATGGAGAGCAAAGGCCAATTCCCTGAATCTAAGAGCCACTTCCTGGGACAGAGGTCAGGGCAGGTGGACAAAGGGCACAGCAGACACTCAGGACGGGAAAGGCCAAGTGTGTGTGTGTGTGTGGCGTGACCATGTGAACACACTTAGGAAGTGACAGGGATTGGATTGGTTGCTCCTAGGGGAGCCATCTCCCTTCTGCCAAGAAATCCTGCTGAGTCGGGGGAAAGGTCAAAGCCTGGAGCAAAAATGGAGCCTTACCCAGAGCAGGAGGTGAGAAGGCAGCCCTGGCCAATTTCCGGGGAGCTCGAGAAAGGTGGGGCCTGGGAGGGGCAGGAGGCTGAGCAGGGCATGCCCCCTCCAAAGTCTTGAGAAGGAGGGTGAGGCCTGATTCACTCCATTGGCAGGTCCTTCCTCCCGGGAGGGCACAGCAGCTGTTCTACCTAATCCCCACTCACCTCCCATCCCCGAACCCTCCCCATTGGGCAGGAGGTGGCCCTGGCCACAGCCCATCTGGCTGAAACCTGCTGGTTCTCTCCTCCCTGAAATGGGCCACTGCAGAAGAAGACCTCTTTGAATAGTCTCCCAGGAGACAGGCTCAGACTAGGGCCTCCTCCTCTTCCCCTCATAAAGCACAGACAAAAACAAGCATCAGTAACACCAAAAGCTAACATTTATTGAGCCTTCGCTCTGTACTATTTCATTCAACCTCCTCCCCATGCCAGAGTGGAGTTGTGCATAGTATCCCCATGTTCCAGGTAAGAAAGTGGAGGCTCAGAGAGGTTAGGCCACGTGCCCAAGGTTACCCAGCCGATAGAATCATCTAGATTTGAACCTGGATCTGATTGACTCCAGGTGTAATCACTCAGCTGAACTAACTTCCCTAGACTAAAAACCTCTCGAAGCATCTACTGCATGCTAGCTGAGAAGTCCAAGGAATCCTCCTCAGGGCCTCAGGGTCTCGTCTGTATATTAAGCCAGCAAGGATTGCTAAAGATTGGTGGTTTTCGGTCTTTTAGGGGGCAGAGATTCCTTTAAGAAACTGTTCAAACTATACCTCCTCCCCCTAATTCCAGAAAAATATACAAATGAACATGATCACAGTTTGATGTGTGCATAGACCCCCACCCCTTTCCAAGGACCCTACACTGGTGGCTCTGAGAATCCAGGAAGGGCTGCAGTGTAAACCCCACCCACCCACCCAGCAGGAGAGCCTCCACTATCTAGACCCCTGTCCCTACCCTCTTCAGGGATCCACAAACTGGCTTGGGGGGAAGGGACCCGGGGAGAAAATATAGAGCTGCCATCCCCTCTGCAACACCCCCATCTAGTGGCAGAGAGTGAGAACTGCAACTTCCCCCAAACACCTGGTTCCCTGTAGGACTTGGACCCTTTGCAAAATACACAAACACAATCCACATGACTGGACTCAGAGCTTTGAGTACATTCAGCCCACTGCAAATCCCTTTGCCTTCAAGAGTTGGAGGATTCAGATGTCCTATTTAGGAAGGAATAATGATAATGATTGCAGTTATTCTTATTACTGTTTTCCAGCTAAAATTTGTCTTGTATATTTACTACCTAGTTTAAATACATCTCCCTTAGTTCCCATAGCCCATTGTTCAGATGCAACAATTGAGGTCAGAATACTAAGCGGTGCGTTAGGAAGTGGCAAGGCAGAACACAGATCCAGATTGGTTGGATACCGTTCAATTCCAGAGATCCTTCACCATTTTGTCCTTGTACCTCTCAGATCAGCCCAGAAGTTACTGGGCCCCTACTCAGTCCTGCATGCTTTCTATAGGAGCTGACTTGACTCCGTTATTATTCCATTTTTAGATCTTAGACTAAAGAGTAGCCATTTTCTGCAAAACAATAGACAGGATGACCTGTTTCAGGAAATCACAGTTTTGCGCTCTCATCCGCAGGAACCACAGGACTAGTGCTGACGCAGAACTGTTTCGACATGTACTCTGGAGGTAGGCACCTCTGTTAGCACTGAGGGCACAGGGTGGGCTGAGCTCCTATGGCGAAAGAGCCATCAGAGTGCTGGGATGCTCAGCTCTCGTCTCCAGAGGAGATGACCAGAAAGAAGCATGGTAGGGGTGGAGGACCATCCTGCTGTCTTTGAAGCTCCTTTCTGCTGTCTTATTTAGTTGGGCTCTCCTGGCTGCCAATCCTGAGACCAGGAGTCAGGTGCAACGGTTTATTTGGGAATAGGTGATCTCAGGAAATGCCAGCAGGAAGCGAGATGGAGAGGGAGACAGCCAGAACAGTGTGTTACCAGGCTGAATGCTGCAGGCAATTGGAACTCGGGAGCTGGTGTCAGGTACATGCCTCAGATCTCAGAGGGGCAAGGGAGCTGGGGCACTCCCACCCCTAATTCCTTGGCACTTCCCACATGCCTGGCTTGCCCCAGGGCACAGAGGAGGATCTGGAGGTCAGAGAGGACCTTAAGGCAAAGAAACACTGGTGCTGGCAGTTGGAGGCCAAGCAGGTGCGCACTCAAGTGCTAAGGACAAGGACACACGGCCCAGTTTGCTAGGTAAAAGGTATTTTAAGGCCACAGGGGTGTCTCTTGGGCCCAAGGACAGGACAAGACCTCCGAAGGCCTGGAAGGGATCGCTCTGAGGCTCCAAGCTCTCTGCGTCTTTCTGCAGACCTCTTTTCTTCTCTGTCTGCATGCACGGCCACGCTTGCTGCGCTCTGGGCACGTGACCACCCCACTGTCCTCCCCGCCCTTAGCACAGCCTGGGGACCGGACCCTGCCCTACCTGGGCTGGACATTCCCACCAGCAGCAGCTTCAGCCCCAGGCTGCCTGGCCAAGCCGTGCTGGGGGCGGGAGTCTCACCCAACAATCCTGCCATCTAAAACACAGTGGAATCCGTCCCAAACTCAGTATGCCACCCACTGCCTAGCTGGCAACCTGCCTCCCTCCCTCTGGCCCGGGAGCCTCACCCAGGGGTAAAGAAGCAGCAGGGTGGCCCTTGCAGGCAGCAGACGTCTTGGTCCTGCAAGGACAGGCTTCCATGGGGACGGATGAACTGAGCTCAGCCCCCTTCTGAGTTCAGCTCAGCTCTGTTTCCCTCCCCTGTGCCGTGATCTCAAGGCCAGCTCTGGGCTCGGGCATCACTACGTTCCTGTGCCCACCTAAACACAGCCCCAGAGGGGACAAAGCCAGGCAGTAAGAAAGGGAGAAGCGCTCTTGGCTTTGCAAACAAAGGAGGGGGAGCTGAAAGGTGGGCAGTGGGAATCGGGTGCCCAGCAGTCACAGCTGGGAACGTTGGGAAGGTGATCTGCAGCACTGACTGGGCTTGGAGAGAGCAGCTGGTGCCCTGTCCTGGGCCCAGGGCTTCAGAGGGTCCCCTGGATCCCCTGATGGCCATCCTCCAGTGAGTCCCACCTTACAGGTAGGGTCTGCAGGGCCCGAGGATGTGCCAACTGGCAGCCTGCATCAGGGCCCATGCAGACCAAGGGCTGGCCAGGGCTTGGCAGTGGCTGGGGTGGTGGGGGGAGGACGGAGCTTGGACGGGCAGGCTGAGGGTGTCCACATGCAGGCACGCGAGGGCCCTCCTGGTGCAGGACAGAGCTGGAGACAGGTGAGGAGACTGGGGCAGGCTGTGGGCTGAGGGCTAGAGACCGTCATGTGTCCTCTGTCCAGGACCCTGCACGTGTTCGGGGTGGCCCGGGGCCAGGTTTATGGAAAAGGTCCAGTCTCTGGAATCAAAGACTTCAGGCTGAGGCAGGTGTCATCTTGTGAACTTCAGTTTTGTCATCTGTAAAATAGAGGTAAACCACTGTCCGCTTCAGGAGACGGATCTAGGGGATTGGGTAGGAACTGGCACCAATCAGTGGGAGGGGCCCAGGGTGCATTCAGCCTTCTCCCTTCCCTTCCGTCCTCCCTCCCTCCATCCACATGACTCAGAAGCAAGGAGGACACTGGCAGAATGAAAAGGGTTAAAAAATTTATTTTTATTTTTATTGTTTTAATTTAAATTCAACTAACATATAGTGTATTGTTAGTTTCAAAGGTAGAGTTCAGTGATTCATCAGTCTTCTATGACACCCAGTGCTCATTACATCACCCAGTTACCCCATCCACCAACCCCCCCCCCCCCCCCCCCCCGCCCTCAGCAACCCTCAGTTTGTTTCCTGGAGTTAAGCCTCTCTTATGGTATGTCTCCCTCTCTGATTTTTGTCTTGTTTTATTTTTTCTTCCCTTCCCCTATGATTCTCTGTTTTGTTTCTTAAATTCCACATATGAGTGAGATCATATGATAATTGTCTTTCTCTGATTCACTTATTTTGCTTAGCATAATACCCTCTAGTTCCATCCACATCGTTGCAAATGCAAGATTTTTTTTTTTGATGGCTGAGTAGTATTCCCTTGTATGTATATATACCACATCTTCTTTATTCATCTGTTGGACATCTAGACTCTTTCCATAGTTTGGCTATTGTGGACATTGCTGCTATAAATATTGGGGTGCATGTGCCCCTTCAGGTCACTACATTTGTATCTTTGTGGTAAATACCTAGTAGTGCAATTGTTGGGTCCTAGGGTAGCTCTATTTTCAACTTTTTGAGGAACCTAGATACTGTTTTCCAGAGTGGCTGCACCAGCTTGCATTCCCACCAACCGTGTAGGTGGGTTCCCCTTTCTCTGCATCCTCGCCAACACCTGTTGTTTCTAGAGTTGTTACTTTTAGCCATTCTGACTGGTGTGAGGTGGTATCTCATTGTGGTATTGATTTGTATTTCCCTGATGCTGGGTGATGTGGAGCATTTTTTCATGTATTTGTTGGCCATTTGTATGTCTTCTTTGGAGAAATGGCTGTTCATGTCTTCTGCCCATTTCTTGATTGGATTATTTGTTCTTTGGGTGTCGAGTTTGATTAAGTTCTTTAAAGATTTTGGATACTAGCCCTTTATCTGATGTCATTTGCAAATATCTTCTCCCATTTTGTAGGTTGTCAAAAAGGGTAAAAAATAATTTAAATTTTGTATTGCTCTATTATGAACATGGATGTAACTATGGCTGATGGGGACCCAGAAACAGAAGCATTTGAGGACAAGTTGCCCCTTCCCACAAGAGATAAAAGAAGGCAATGACCTCTTAAAGTGAGAGGATAATTAATAGAAGGCACACTTCATTTTTTTTCCAAACATTACTGTCCATCCCAGACAAGAACAGATCTTGATATCTGGAGCTAATGGCTCCAACTGATTTTCAGAGTTCCCTCTTTTATCTCAAGAGTTCAAGGGCCATTTCCCTAACAGAGCCTCTGTGGTCACTGACTACAGGCCTCTGTGTTACTGAGCTAGTTGGCAGCTGGCCTTGCTTTCAGGATTTGATTCTTCCCCTAGGTCCAAGGGATCACTGGGGAATACTAAGAACTGGCTCATCTTCATGGGTGTGGGCCTGTGGGCAGGGCAGCCATACAGTCCTGCGCCTAGAGCAAACTCAGGTTTGGTGATGCTCTGCCTTCACCTGTCTTGAAATTCTTAATAATTTTTTAACAAAAGGCTCCACATTTTCATTTTTCACTGGGCTCTGAAAATTATGTCACTGATCCTGCTGATAATTACAATTCCATTATAGTGCACTTTCTGTATGCCCAGAGTCGTCATCACATTTGCTGTCTACAAAAATGCTATGGGCAGGGCTACGAATCATCCTAGTGTGACAGATGTGGCCCCTACTTTTCCCACTAGGCCAATCTTGCCCATACTTCCTCAACCATTCAAGAGCCCCCTGCACAAGTTACACCATATTCAGAGTATCATCTGAATTATTAGTATTTTCCTTTGAATAAACTTATTTTTTTTAACCTAAATAAATATCTTAAAAGGAAATTATATCACTGCCCTAAGTTACCAGTTTTTATGCAGGAAAAGTGACCATAAAAATAAGCACAATGGAAACAAACCCATGTCCTTGAAGCAAGCTGGGTGCTGATGCCTCTGCCAGGCGCTGCACCTAGGCCTGCTCTCTGGTAAGTGCAGAGATTTCACAAGTGCAAGGAGGTGTTAAAAATGCAAAGGGAGGTTTGCTCCTTGGCATAAGCTGGAGAACTGTAGGACACTGATGTTCTCGCTCAGTGACCTGAGTTGCCTGTGGTGCGGTGGATCTCCTCTAAAGTCAGCACAGACAGGTTCTTAACCAGTGTAGAAGGAGGTAGCAGGGGGTGTGCAAAGAGCCTAGAGTTCCTGAGACATGACTGCACTCCATTCCTCAGGTACAGGTCCCCAAGGGCCCTTAGAACAATGTCTCTCAGTCCTGGCTGCACATCAGAATCTCCTGTGGAACTTTTGAATTCCCAGTGTCCACCCCTGACCACCTGCATGAGGGCACCTTTGCTTCATGCACTTTTCTCTCCCCTGGACAAGGGCTGCAGGGAGCTTCACCCAAGGTGTCGCCTCCTGCTGGCCCCTGAGCTTCAGGTGGACCTCCGTGTCAGCCTGCCCCCGGTCACTCCTGGATCTTCAGGGCAGTAGCAGAGAATGAGAATGACCAGTGGTCATTTCCCGTAAATGACCAGCACCCCATTTTTCTTCCTCCCCCAGATGTTAACCTCCTGGTAAAATTCCTTAAAAAAATCCCAGAGGGCACGCTGGTGCTAATGGCCTCCTATGATGACCCAGGAACCAAGTAAGTGGGAACGTCCACCTGCCCGGCCAAGGGTTGAAGGGAACCAAATGCTTTCAAGTCCTAAGTGCCTTTTCCCTGCTCTCCCGTTGGCTCTGTCTTCTGGCAGCTTCTCCTAGGGAAATAACCAGACCAGTGCATGACGACATGTTCATGGAGGCTCATCACAGCCTCGGTTACAACATTGGAAAGCTGGACACACTGTCCCTGTCCAGTAAAGACCAACTAGTTACAGAAATTATGACACATGTTGATATGTGACATTATATGTACATAGAAGAGGATCTACATCAAAAATGATGTAGAAAATAATTTAAGGATATGGAAGAATGCTCACCCTTCAGTATTAAGTGAAAACAAAACATTATAAAAGCATTGGTATGATCCCCTAGTGCGTGGGGAACAAAGATACTAAGGAAATACATTAAAACGTTACAGTGATTATGTCAAGTGGGGTGAGACTGTAATTTCTAGTTCCTCTGTGATGTTCCATATTTTCCAAATAAACATGTATATTTGTAAACAGAAGCAAACCCAGACTAGTGGCCACTCGGCCCTGTTCCTTCTGAGCACAACCCTGCACAGCCCAGCTGCTGCATCTGGAGGCAGGTGGGGCAGAGGGTAGGCCAAGTGCTTGAGAACCTTGCCCCTCTCCCACCCCTCCACCTCACTGTCCTCTCTGGTCCTCTGCAGAATGAATGATGAGACCAGGAAGCTCCTCTCCAGCTTGGGCAGTTCCTATGCAAACCAGCTGGGCTTCAGAGATAGCTGGGTCTTCTTAGGGGCCAAAGACCTCAAGGATAAAAGCCCTTTTGAGCAGGTGAGTTCCTGGCGGCCTCCCCGTCCCAGTGAGTCAGGTGGGGGTAAGGTGCCAGGGATGGATGGTCAAGGACTAGGGTGGCTTGGGAGGGACAGTGTGGGGACCTCAGAGGTCAGGGTGGCCCAACTGGCTAATCCCCCAGCAGGAAGTAGCCTTGACCATTTTGCAAAGATCTGGGTCATATATAAATGGATAAGTACCAGAAAGGAGAAGGAAAAGGAGAAAAGAAGGATGAGGGAAGTGAGGAATGGGAAAAGAGAAAGGAATGTAGAGATGAAGCCTGCATGATGGGTAGAGCATGGGGCGGGATGTCTGGCTTCTGGTCCCAACGGAAACCTAAGCCAAGCCTCTTCTCTCTCTCTCCACACCCCTGCCCCGGGCCTCAGGCTCCCCACCAGAGGGGAGAGGATAAATTTGCATCAAGAGGACGACACAAGGGGCACCTGGGTGGCACCTGACATCTGCCTTCGGCTCAGGTCATGACCCCAGGGTCTGGGATCAAGTCCCACATGGGGTTCCCTGCTCAGCAGGAGACCTCCTTTTCCCATTCCCCCTGCTTGTGTTCCCTCTCTCACTGTCTCTCTCTCTCTCAAATAAATAGATAAAAATCTTAAAAACAAAAAAAACACAGGAGAGCCCACCTGAGTACATGGAAGGGGTCAGGAGTGGTCCATGACATGTGGTTCCACAGTCACTACCCAGGCCCCAAGTAGAGTCTGGAGTCTCAGGAGTGCTCAGGGGAGGAAAGGGGAGTTGATGATGGGGTGGAGCCTCCAGGGAAATGCTGCACGTTCTCTCCCTGTCCCCCATCTGTGCATCCCCAGCTCAGAGCAATTCCCAAATGTGGGAGAACTAGCCAGATCTTCCCTGGCCTGATGTAGTCCATTGTCTAGTGGTGAGAATATTCAGCTCTGCCCAGATTCCAAGGCAGGCAGCTAAGAGTCGATGATTCTGACATACAGGACTACGGAGGAGAGTGAACTCTATCCTGAAGGCAGTGGGGACCCATGGAAGGCTTAAGCGGAAAAGCAATAAGAGCAGATTGATATATAAGAAACACTAGCATTCAGCAAGCACTTGCTGCGTGCAGGCTCGGCTGAGCAAGTTACCTGCAGTGCTTTCTTTAATTCCCGCGATGAAGTAGGTACAATTCTGCTCCCACCCCACAGTCGAGGATCTGGAGCCAAGGAGAGGTTTTAACCAGCTTGTTTGGATCTGATGCGGATGTAGCTCTCATCCAGGTCTGGCGGCCTCCACACAGATTCCCGTCCTGATGCTTTTAGCACAGCCTCCCTGGCCCAGCACAGGGAGAAGGCAGGGAGGAGGCCCAGGCAGTAATCAGACCTGAGGCACAGCAGCCTGCAGGGGAGGGGCTGTGGGAGGCAGGGGAGTGACCGCCTCAAGACGCTAGACTCCAGGTGCGGGGACCACAATGGGCTGCAAGGGTTTTTGCCTTGTCTGGAAAATGCTGGCTTGATTTGTATGTGTGAGTTTCTAAGAGAATGAATTCAGGTGGTTAGAAATTCCTTTTTTTAAATGGTGATACAAAGTAGCTTGTGCTGGAGTAGACAAGGAGGGAGCCCTCTGTTTATAGCCTCCAGGTGAAGAACACAGGCAGCAGAGTGGGGTTCCAGAGCATCCCTGTGCAAGGAGGGGATGGGGAGACCCATCACCCAGAATGAACTGGAGACCACGATGTGAGCGGAACCATTAGGTCCTTTGTTCTCACACATGTGGTTCTGGGTTTTAGAGACATAGCATCTAGAATTACTTTTATCCCTAAGGGTTAGCCCCAATTATTCCTTTTATCCCTAAGGGTTAGCCCGGGTAGATTTTGCTATTTACATTTTTTTCCTCCATAAACTAAGCCTAGGCACTTTAAACACCATCTTAACTGATTTTATTCTCTCTATATTTATTATTAATATTACACAGCGGTTCTGCCCCAGGGTTACTTTAGCCCTCTGTGCCTCAGTTTCCCCATCTGCAGAATGGGATGGTAATGGTATGCCCTTCTTAGGGCTATTGTAAGGAATAAATACATAAGGCACTTTGTACCTGGCATAGAGCAAGTGTTCACGAATTGCCTCTTTTCATTGTTGTGCTGGTTGGTTGGGGGTGTCCTAGAAAGGCTGATGGAGAATTTGGCAGAGGAGCTAACGTTCTGCAAGCCTGCCCCCCAATGCTTGGTACCCCACCCCCCCAGGGCAGGAGGCGAGAACTGAGCTCTGATCTCCTCTGTAAAACCCTGGGCACGTGGCCGTCCCTCTGCACCTCAGTTTCCCCACCTGTGAAAGGGGCTGGTCCTATCCCACACCGCCGCCTCCGCATGGGGCTGAAGCAAGGGCGAAGTGAGTGAAGGCAGGAGGTCTTAAAGCGCAGTGAAAACTCAGGTCTGACTCCTGAACAGCCTCCCCCATGGTCCGCGTTACTCTTTCTCTCTCTCTTCTCTCTCTCTAGTTCTTGAAGAACAATCCAGACACGAACAAATATGATGGCTGGCCGGAGCTGCTGGAGCTGGAGGGCTGTGTTCCCCAGAAGGTATTTTAGGGCGGCTGCAGGACCCAAGAAGCCTCTAGCTGTCCTAACATCAGCTGCAGCGGGGAGAAGGAAGCCAGGTGGCCTGTGGAAAGTTCCCTGGTGGGGAGGGAGGTCCGCGCCCTCTGCACACCTCCCTTCTCCGGAAGCAGCGCCCTCCCAGCCAAGGTGGCCAGCCATCAGGGGTCCTTCTGGAGCCTGTCTGCTTTCCCTCGAAGCCACGGTCGCGCCCAAGGAAGGACGTACTGCCCGCACCTGCGGCACACCATTAAATTTTATTTTTGCTGATTTTGAATGAACTCTCTGACCTTCTGATGTGCCGCGTTTCTCCCTGGGATCGAACTGGCCCAGGCCGGGTTGGCTCGGGCGCAAGCTGGGACGAGTCGGTGACAGCTTCAGGCACCAGGTTAGGCTGCTGGAAGACAGGCTGATGTCCTAGGGATTTTGCCAAAGGGTGAATGAACGAATCATTGGCTCCCAGCATGAGATGTAAGACCCCCAGGAGCAGAGAGAACTGGAGGACGGGACACGGAGCATGTTTTCTTCCTCTGCTGCTTGCATGAGAGCTGGAGGCTCCAGAGCCAGAAGGGCGTGGGGCGGGCACCATGTGAGGAAGGCTGGGAGGAAGAGGCAGGCTGCTGGGCAGGCTTCAGGGAGGACGTCCTGGCCAGCTTCGTCTTCGAGTGGTTCCCCAGGAGCTGCCCCTGAGATTTATTCGGGAGGTGATTCTGGAAAACAGTGGGGGTGGGGAAGGGAAGGCAGCCAGTAAAGGCTGTGTGGTCGACTCTCCTAGGGCCGTGGGTGAGTGGAGCTCAGTTCCTGGAGGACCCCCAGGAATCAGTGTAGAATACACACATCAGAGATTTCTGAGCCAGGGTGAGGGAGCTGAGCTGCTTGTGCTGGGGGGCTGCTAGTGTTGGGGCTGATGGGAATTCCTGGGCACCTCTTGTCTGCCCTACAGAGGAAAGCGTGGCCGTCCGTGGCTGCACAGTGAGTCCTTAGCCAAGAGACGTTGATACCAGCCACTGGAGCCCACGGAGGTGGTAAGGCCCAAAGGATATGGTATAAATACCCTGCCGGGGGTCTCTGAGAAGGGCCATGGGTGGGGTGCCTAGACTAAATCCTGGGAGGGGGACATGGAAGCAGACAGGACTGGTACCTGGGCTCCTGGAGTGTGGGCCAGTAAGACTGCAAAGCTCCCGCAGAAGTGCAAATGCCCTGAGCCGTGGGCCAGCAGATGGGTCCTGTGCACACCAGTGAGGTGGGGCCCTGGGCACAGTCAGGGCTTCCAATGTGCCAAGAGGGTCTGGGGTAGAGAGGAGGACAAGAGTGTGGGACCCTGCGGGCAGAGGACACGATGGGCTGGGACTTGGGCTACAGTTGCAATGGGGTTGAGATCAGTGTTCAAAGCCCGATAGGACAACTTGGAGCAGGCTGGGCTGAGGAAGTAATTCCATTACCCATTTTTCCCAGTGCAGATCACTCTCAGGGATTAAAGGGGGAGTTTGCTGGCAGCCCCCACTAACTCCTATACAGACACTCCATTTGTGTGGTGTAGGATGCCTGGCGGCTACATAAGCAAATGAATGTGCTTCATTCCTGCCCTTTTGTTCCCAGTGGCAGGGTCCTCTGTTCACACCTGACCATCCGTGCTAAACAGGGCCGCCACTGAACCCGGTCACTCTCCCTTCCCAGTCCCTGGGACTGAATGGTGGTTTTCTGCAGGCCCTGGACCCTGATGGTGCCACTCCTTTTCTCTCGGCTGACTCACTTCTTGTTCTACTCTGTTGCAGGTAGTGTGGTGGACAGAAGGCCGAGCCTGGGTCTGAGTACTGGCTCTCCACTGGCTAGCTGGGTGAGCAGATGCCACCTCTCTGAGCCAGAGAGCTCCCCTGTGAGAAATGGGGGATTCGATCCATCTCGGGGGCGTAGGGGCAGGAAATAGGATAAAATATCCACAATGCCAAAAGTTGTCAAAGAGAAAAAATATATATATTTGTATGTATATGTATGTATGTTTGGGAAAACATCTGGCCAGATACCCACCCTGGGAATGAAGAAGGGGACAAGAAATTTCCATTACTACCATAAACACCTTTGTATGTTTGGGATCTTTCTTTACAACAAGGAAGAATACCTTATAAAATTAAAAGAACCAATAAGGACTTCTAAAGTGAGTTCAGGGCCAGAAGTAGGGGTAGGCAGAGCTCTGGGCAGTGGCCGCTATTTTAAAAGGACATGGGGTGGCCTGCTGGTTGTAAGAGAAGACTCGTGGTACTTTTCCAGAAGCTGTCTTGCATAGCACTTTAAAGAAGATTGAGAAAATGTCAACAGGATGAATCAGAATTGGGGAAAGGGTCTCCTGGAGTGGGGGAGCACAGCGGAACGGCTGGTGCCCACCCAGGCCCCCTCACCCAGTTTTTGCCTCTAGGAGTGCGTCTATGAGCCTCTTTGGAGAACTGCCCTCGGGCTACTCGTTCTTAGCTCCCAGAGGCAGAAAAGAGAGGCCAGGAGGTGCCAGAGTAGAGTAGAGCTGCTGACTGCCCAGCTGGAGTGTGCAAGCCCAGCTCCCTCTCCTGGGGCTGGACAACCAGGAGCTACAATCTACACTCCACGGTTCCCGTGGGATCAAGCTGGGAGTGGACCTGAAAGTGTCCCTTTGCTTGGTTGTGTCCCCTTCCCTATCCTCCCCTACCACTCCCCTACCTGCATCCTTAATCACCTGCATGAGAACACTCACCCGCAAGTCGGCTTCTTGGGGAATCCATCCTAAGAGAGGCAGCGACCATGGCCAGCCAGATGGAACTGAGCTTGGGCGAGGAGACAAGACCACCTGATATGCAGGAATTGTCATAAAGAGAGTTCCCGGTGAAGAAAGGCTCAGAGTGAGGAAGCCGCACTTGCCCCTGCCACACGGGACCTGTAGGAGAAGCCACCTGCTGTGCATGCTTGAGAACACGAAGTGGGTCACGCCCCCTCCCCTCCTCAACCAGGGGCAGGCCTCAGTTGGCACATCCTCCACATGATGGCAGGGAGCCCAAATGACCATCAGTGGTACCACCAAAACCTACCAAGGAGATGGCACTCTAGAGCCAGCCCCTTCTAGGTCCTCCCCCCCGCCCCACAGGGTGGGCGTCACAAAGTGGCAAATACCCATCAGATGCTCAACACCATTTTCAGGGCACTGTGGCCACTACGGAGACCCCCTCCCCCCCCCCCCGCCGACCCCCTCCAGCTCAGAGTTAGGCAAGACAGTCCAAGAAAATGGCTGTAGAGAGTTGGGTCTACAGCCCCCTTATGAGACTGTTTCCTAGTCAGTCATTACCTGCTACACAAGAACTGGGTAGGCACTGGGGATACCATAGTGAAGAAAACCAGACACAGTCCCTGCTCATAGTCCAGGGGGACGAAGATCAAGAGGCAGTAGGACTTGATAAAGGCTATGTTTGGGGGCGGGGGGCAGGAACTGCAGGATCAAGGGAGGCATCCTGGAGGAAGCAGCATCTACACTGAGCCTGCAGGAGGCACAGGAGTTCACCAGGCAAAGAGGGGATCCCGGAGGCCAGGCCAGGGAGCAGCATGAACCAGGCCTTCAAGCTGGAGAGGCCTGGAAGGGGCAGAGGTGGGTAACAAGGGCTGAGCGGGCAGGGGTGACAGGCTTAAGGGTCCTGTGGGCTGGGTGCAGGGGCTTGGACTTTGTCTAGGGGCTGTGGGGACACATGGAGAGATTGAAATTGGGGAATGAGCCAATCAGGTTTGTAGTTTTTGAAAATTCCTCCCGGCTGCTGTATGGAGAAGGGAGTGGAGAAAGGGAGGCCAGGGGAGTAGGCTGCTGCCTCAGCCAGAGCGGTGCCCTGGGGATGGAAAAAAGAGGACCAGTCCCAGGGATATTCAGGAAGTAAACCGGACAAGACTTGAGGACGGATTTTTCTCACCATCGGGGTGGACAAGACTTCAGGAGTCTCTGCAATCTACTCATGGGCCTCAGAATTTGGGACTCCTATTTCCCTATCCTCTCCGCATCAGCCCACCACTCCTCTTTCCCGAGACTGAGGATGGGGAGGCAAAGGGGGGCGGGTGTGCCTCTGTTCGCGCAGCCCCTTTGGGGCTTTCCAGCAACTGTAATTCTGGTCCTCACCAGTAGGTGGCAGCCCAAGATAGAAAGGGAAAGGTAGCAAGGTTACCCCTGCCCACCCAGTTTGGGGAAGGGTGCTGTGCTTAATGGACAGGATGCCTGGGACTTACGAATGGGCGATGGATTTACTATCACATTATTAACAGCATCACAACATCAGCACCTGGCTTCTAGGGGGAATTGTGGTTATATGCTCTGTGCAGGGCTTTATATGCATTTCATCCTCAGCCCCATGTGGTGGCCCATTGTTGTCTCCTTTTACACGGGAGGAGAATGAGGCTCAGAGAGGCCAAGAGACTTGTGCAAAGTCACACAGCTAAGAAGCCTCAGATTAAGGGTTGGAATCCCAGCCGATCTACATCACTACAGGAAACACCCTTCAGAAATACTTGCCCTGAAACCACTCAGGGGTGAACAATGTTTTCTCCCTCCTCCTCCTCTTCCCCTTCCTCTCCCACATCCACTCCTCCTCCACCTCTTCCTCCTCCTCCTGAATGCCTCTGGAGACCTTTGAAAATTGCTCAGAACCTCTGAGTCAACATTCTCAAAACCTTCCCCCATTTTGTAAGCCTTGCTTCCCTCTACAAGATTGTGGGTCAAGAAGGAGCAGGTGTTTATGTCCATTTCACAGATGGAGAAAGAGAGGCTACAAGCTGTGCCCAGGCCACACAGTGAGACAAGGCAAAGCTGGATCTTGACCCCGCCCGCCCAACTGTCTTTTCATAAATCCTCTGTGTCTGCATCCCAATCACCTCCTTGGTGGCAGGCCCTGTGCTGGGCTCTGGAGCCACCACCCCCACTCCTGCCTAGGGCATGGGGTCCAATTCTTGCATTGCAGACCCACATCCTGCCGGGAGCTGGGCTTCGGACCTTCAGCCAGTCGAGGGCTCCAGTCAACTAGGCTTTTAGTGAAGCTCATAAGTCATATTTCAGCAGGACTCCAAGCAGATGGGGAAAAATTAATAAACGGGTAAAATTCCTTTTCTCTCCTCCCATCCCACCAAGAGCCAAGCTGGTGGATAATTATGGGATGGCTGCCAAAGGAGTTTGATCTTCAAGGTTGACGTATGGCATTTTTACTGCTCTGGCTGACAGCCAACTTAGTCACTGCCCTTTACAATTTTGTGGGTGCTCTCCTTACTGCAGGAAATCAGAAGCTGTACCCCAGCCATGACTAAAACGGAGAAAGGGAATGGGGGGGTGGCGCTGAGGCAGGGGCTGGACCCAGGAGAAGGAGCAAAGGAAGAAGCCACATTTTTGCTTGCCCGGAGGAGACAGGACTAATATTTGCCATGCAGGGAGCTCTTGCAATGAGCTAGGGCTGTGTTAGACACTCTACATACTTAGACTATTTCATTTCATCCCCCATCATGTACTCACCCACTCCACCAATATTTGTTGTGTGACTGCAATGTGCCAAGCTCTATTTTACACCAAGGGGCTACACTGATGAACAAGACAGACCAGGTCTCAGCCTTTGTGGAGCTGCCATTCAGGTGCAGGAGCTGAACAATAAACACAGATAAAACATCATTCCAGTTGCTGATAAATGCTATGAAAAAAATAATTAGCCCAGGAGGCTGGTTTGCATAGAGTCAGGGCAGGCTTCTCTGAGGAGGTGATAATGGAGCCTGATGGATAAAAAGGAAAGAATCATGCAAGATTAAAAAATGGAGTTGAGGGAGAGAGATGGGAAACATTCCAGGCAGCAAGAACAGCAAGTGCAAAGGCCCTGGGGTGAGGAGGAAGGGGGTATGAAAGAATTGTCAGGGAGAGAAGGAAATGGGAAGTGAGGTCTGAGAGGCAAGCAAGACTTGATGGAACAGAACTTTGGACCATGGGGAATTTGATGCTATGGGCAAAGCTGGATCTAGAATACCTCATCCTGACCCTTCACTACCAACTGCCATTTCATAAATCATCGGTGTCAGAAATCATCACCACCTCCTAGCCAGGCAATGTGCTAGAGGAAAGGGAGGGCTGCAAGGTTCCCCCTGCCCAGCCATCTCTTAAGAAAGGGTGTTCTGCTTAGACCAGTTACTGGGGACTTGCCAGTGGGCAGTGGTTTCATCCTGAGTAGCCTTGACCGCATTTTAACTACAGCCCCTAACTTCTCTGGAGAATTGCTGTTGTCCAAATCCTCTGCTCAGAGCTTTACTCAAGTCACCTCATTTCACCCTCAGGCCCCCATGGGGTTGGGGCCCACTATTTCCCCCCTTTGGTCAAGTGGGGGAGTATAAAACGGAATGACATCATCGGATTTAGGCTCTAACAGAACCGTGGCCCCAGCAGTATGCACCTACCTCTTTCAGCCGCAGAGCAACCCCGCACTGTGTGATTATAGCAACACACACGCACAGATGAAGAAACTGAGGCTCCCAGGGGATCATGCCCTACCCCCGGGTCACACAACTGTGAGGAAAGAGCTGGGATTCAAGCCCAGCCTGGTTTCAGCCTTAACCTCGTCCCATGCTGGCGATAAAATGAAGGAAGGAGGGGTAGCAACTGAGGAGGAGGGTAACTGCTGGGGGAACTTTGAGAACTTGGCTCTGAGCCTGGAATCCGGCCTCCAGATATTTTCCTGGCCCAAGCCCAGCCCAGCCCTCCCTGCCGGGACTACTGTCCTGGTGAATGAAGTACTTGGCTCTCAGAGTCTCTGCTCTGGGAGAGCCCTTGCCCCCAAGTGTCTTAAAAGATCTAGTATTAATGGGGGCTGTCCCGCCAGAGGTTCACATCCCCACACAAGCCTGCCCCGAGCCCCACGGCCCGGCTGTCCCACGCAGCCTCCCCTGTCTGGGACCTGTCTGTGGATCAGTGCCCAGCCTGGCAAGAAGGCCAAGTCCTGCCTGCTGGGCCAGCCAGAGGTCATCCGCTGTACCCAAGCTGCCGGCCGCATGGTGAGAGGACCGCTTTGCTTCTCTCCCCCCTCCAACCTTGGATGCCTCAGTTTCCCCTCCTGAGAGAGGCAGGGGTATAAGAAGTGAGCAGCTACAGGGACCACAGGACGTGTGAGCCATCTGGAGACACCGTGCCCCTCTGACAGGATGAATCACCCTAAGCCTGTCTGAGGAGCTCTGGGCTTAGGAGCAGCTGTGAAAGCCTCCTTTGTGCCTGAGGAGAATGAGCCGCAAGAGCACGGGGGACCCTGGCCTGGGGAACCCCCTGGGCCCCGGCTCCTGAGAACAGCATCAGCAGGGAGGACCCCCAGCCTGGCCCCCGAGGCCCACGCAGGCCTGGTGCCCACTCCATGCCATGGGAGCGGTCCATGGGAAGAAGGTAAGAGCCCCCGAGGGTCCTGCCGGGTCCGTGAACGTGGGGAGGGAGGCTGCATCTGGCAAGTGGGAGCCCTCCCCCACCCACCTGCAGGCTGCATGGGGCCTCAGCCAGGCACTGCCCACCCGCCTCCCTCCTTGAGCTCACAGCCAAGATTTGCATCGAGAAACCTGCCTGGGCTAAGGACAAAGCCTTCTGATCTCTCCATCTCAACAGACCTGGGGGCTGTCCACTCTCACAGGCTGGTCTGACAAACACACACACCTCTCTACTTCCGCACATACAGGCTCCGTGGCCGCCCCTTCCCCGTGTGCCACAGGAGTGTCTGTGGGCAAGTTACTGAGGCTTTCTGTGACTCATTTCCCCATCTGTAAAATGGGGGCAAGAGTCACTACCTCAGAGGCTTTTGGTGAGAATTAAATGAATTAAAATGCATGTAAAGTGTTTCGAATGGTGCCCGGCACACAGTGGGCTATATATAAGCTATGCTCTGTTATTAGAATTCTCTTCCTCTCCCTCTGCATCACCTTCTTCATCTGGACTCTCAGTTGGGGATTTGTATGTATAGCCTATGCGGTGTTTCTGAAAATGTGGTCTGTAGACCCCCTGTGTCTGCCTTAGAGAGGGGGCATGGGAGGGGGCTGGCTCAACAGTCTCCTTGGGGCCCCCCCAGACCTCTGGGATCAGGGGAAAGGGGAGGCAGGGCTCCCCAGGGATTCTTAAACAAGCTCTCAGCCCACATCGCCCGGGACTGTGATCCCAGAGGTGTGGTCAGGCTGCCTGGGGCCCTGCTCCTTACTGTGCCAAGGAGCTGAACCCCTCTGGATCTCAGCTCCTCCCCTGTAGAGTAGGGCTGGTCCCCACCTCCCGGGAGGTGCCATGACATGATGCTGAGGACGTGCGTAAAACGCTGCCTGACACCCAATAAACAGGGGCTCTAATGCGCAGACGGCTCGTGGTTCTGCTCGACTCTACATTTTCTGCCAACCCTGCCCATCCCACAGTTTTCAGATTTTAAGTAAGACGCATCATGGACCCCCATGGAGGAAGCTTTCTGGACCTCAGTTTCCCCATGTGGAAAATGAGTGTTGGGTGAGATAACCCCTGGGGTCTCCTTGCGCTGGCTTCTGCTTCCCACCACCTCTGTTTCAGGTACAATCAGGTCTGGGATCTCCTGCCTGCCCTCAGCAGCCCCAGCAGCATTATCCTAAAAGGTTGATGTCCTGGGGCTGTCCTTCTCCCTCCCGCAGTGGCCAGCGTGGGTCACCTGCAGTTAGGGCAGGTAGATGATCTTTGCGCCCTGGCCCCACCCAACCCTTTGCAGGAACTCTCTTCCAGCTCCTCTGCTCTCCCAACGGAGAGTGAGCTCAGCCTATAGATCCTGCCTGAAATGTAGACATGCAGAGAGTCACCTTGGAGAACAGCTTCCCAGGCCTAGAAAAGACCCTGACAAGGTCTGGCCTAGGAAACGCAGACAGCTCATGGACTGCCTCTCCCTCTTCTCTCACCCACGACAAGCATCACAAATCAATCCCTGCACCCTTTCCCACTAGGCCCAGATGGCCTCAGAATCCTCCTCAGCACAGCAGCTTAGGAGGCCCCCTCCAGTCAGAACGAGCCCCCAGACTGGCAGCCAGGCCTATCCTGGCCCAGCCCCTCCTCCCACCCTTCAGTGGGGGGAAGGTCCCAGAGCAGAGCGAATGGGAACATGAGCTCTGGGGTCAGAGTCAGTTCCTCCTCACATACCCTGTGACCTTGGACAAGACAAGGCACCTTTCTGAGCCTCAGGTTCTGCCTCAATAAACTAAAGATAATAATCCTTCTCACACTGTCGTAAAAGCTAAATGATATCATGCCTGGGGCCAAATAAATGCTCAGTGAACACTGACTCCGTCTGGGTTTGATCCTCTCATACCTGCGGCCTCTTCTGGGCTTCACACCCTCCGTTTGAGCCACCCAGGGCACCTACTATCACACCCCACGGCCGATGAAAACCCTGAGTCGGGAGCAAACACGATTTCCCCCAGTTGCTCAGGGGTGGAGCCAGCCCGGAGATAGGCTGTGAGCATGTCCAGGCCAGGCCCTTTGTGGGGCTCCCTATCTGTGGATCACCCCCCACCCAACTCCCCACATGCCTACTGCTCTGTTTCTGGAGGCAAGAGCCCAGCTGGTCTCTGTGGGATGTCCGTGACACGCACTGGCCTGTCCTAGAAAGGTCACAGTGCTGTCCTTGGGGGCTTCTCAGACCCCCTCCCACACTTAGGGCTTAATCATAGTTCTAGTAAAAAGGTCTGGAAAGCCCCTGATGATATGGTCCAATCCCCTCCCTATTGTACAGCCAGGAAGACTGAGGCCCAGGGCGCCTGGGTGGCTCAGTTGGTTAAGCGACTGCCTTCAGCTCAGGTCATGATCCCAGGGTCCTGGGATTGAGTCCCACATCAGGCTCCCTGCTCTGCGGGGAGCCTGCTTCTCCCTCTCCCACTCCCCCTGCTTGTGTTCCCTCTCTCGCTGTGTCTCTCTCTGTCAAATAAATAAATAAAATCTTTAAAAAAAAAAAAAAAAAAAAAGACTGAGGCCCAGAGAGCAGAAGGACTTGCCAGGGCCATGCAGCCAGGGTCAGACCATTTCCACAAGGCCCGGCAACTCCAGGCCCAACTCTGGAGGCACACAGGAAGGCAGTGGGTCTCCTTCCCCAGCGCCATGAACGGTGGGACCGAGCCACCCTCAGAGAATGCACTGAATGCACAAACGTCCGCCCTTCATTTGCTCAAGCCCACATTTGTCCATAAGCCTTCATTTGCTCCCACCCCAGCCTCCCATTAACAAACATTAACTGGGTACCTGTGCTGGGAGCTGGGCCAAGGAGGGAAAGGCATCCCTGCCCTCAAAGCAACTCTCATGGACCTCAGACCCCAGCTGACGATCCACGGAGACCAGGGGTCAGGGCCCTCCGTCCTCAGTCCCCCGTCAGCAGCCAGTGTCCCTCCCTCAGGAAGGGGACAGGCCCACAAGCTGTTCCAGGCAATGCCTACCCAAGTCCAGCTCCCCAGACGTGATCCCGAGTCTACCGCTAAGGCTGCCAATACTAAAAACAGATACTAAATGATATCCTGGTATCAGAAAACGTTACTAGTAATAGCACACAATGCACCACAAGCTTCCGCAAAGATTCTCTCAGTCAGTATTCCCACAGCTCGCTGAGGTGGATACTTGCATTACCCAAACAACCAGAGGCACAGGGAGATTAAACGAGAGCTCAAGGCCACCCGGCTAGTAAGCAGTGGAGTCGAGATTTGAACCAGGCAGTCTGAAGAGCCTGGACCCCTCGGCCAATGAACTGCTCTGCTGGCGTGTGTGAAGGTGGGCTCTGGAGCAGGAAGCACAGGGTTCAGTCCCACCCGGGTCCCCAGTCAGGGCCACCTGCTCATCCTCTCGGAGCCTCAGCCTCCTCATCTGCTACATGGGATCGTGATTTCCCCACGCACACTAGGATGAGCTGAAGCACCTGGCACAGAGTCGGTGTCAGGGAATGGTGGGTCAAGCTCTTAACCCCGCTCTGGAAGCTGAAGGGGGAGCTCCAGCAGAGAGGGGGCTGGCTGTGCCCCCCAGATCCCCACTGGAACCCCTTGAAGGTTGGACACTTAGCATGCTCTAAGACATCTCTCTCTCCAAACTCCGCACCACCTGGGTTTTTCACTTCACTGAATGAATCCTGTATTCTGACTCTGGGCATTTGCCAAGTCACTCATCGCTCTGCATTCGTCTTCATTAGAAGAAAGTCTCCTTGACGGAAACAAACGGAAAAAAAGATGAGAGATCCAGCTAAATTTGATAAATGGTCTGAAAGGGAGTGTTCGTTCTTTCCAAGTCCAAAAGGCGCCCATCTGGCTGGGCCCCACTGGCTCCCTGAACAATTATCCCTGCCGATGATGGATGGCTCCCGCTCAGCGGCACCCACTCAGCGGGGCGTGAGCACCTCGTTAGGAGGCTTCCGTGCCCCTGCCATGCCGCAGCCCCCACTCTGCCCACCGCCTCTGACTGCTTCTCTGAGGACAGCTGGGGGCCAGCGCCCCCACTGCTCCCCTCATCCACACATGCAGGGCACACTCCTGGGGGTTCTGGGAGGAGAGATGAGCACACATGCTGTAATCGTGAGCACAGACTTTGTCATTCAGGTCCAGGCTCCCTCTTTTGACTCCATCTGTTCACCCCCTGCATGATCTCCCTGGCCTAAGCAAACTGCTAAACACACTGTCCGCCCCTTCACGGTGAGCTAGCCTCTCCACCTCCTTCCCCACCCTCACAATAGCCTGGCCTGGAACCCTGCAAAATGTTGGAGCTGAAATTTCTTCCCCGGGAAAGCCCAGGGACAGAGGGTGAGGTCTAGGAGCTGTGGAGCTATGTACTGGCAGCAACTGAAAGGGGCATTTGAAAGCAGGCAAAGAGACCTTGAGAAACAGGGAAAGGGCGCTTTTCCTGTTCCCTGAGGCCTCCCAGTGGGGCTTTCCTTCTCCTCTGCCCTTGGCTTCCCCAAGCTGGGTTCAGAAGCTGAATGCCCTGGGCTGCCCCAAACAGATGCACAGGCTGGGCACTGCACAAAGGTTAGCAGGGGTGGAATCCGGTCCACTCTCTACCAGTGGAGCCTGGTACCCAGGCATTAGCTAGGTCTGCCCAGAGGAAAAAATGCTGCTTTTTTATTTCACAGTGCCATCACTCTCAGCACTGCAATCACCTCTTCTAGGACTAAAACTTCTCCTGTCCATCCTTATGGCTGGAAGTCCAGCTTAGGAGGGAAAGAAATTGAAGGAGAAAGAAAGGAAGAAAAATGCCAGCTCAGCTGACCCTTCTTCTAGGAAGTCTTGCCTGAGTGGATCTCAAATGTCTACTCAGGGCAAGAGGCTGAGGTGGGGGTGAGGGAGAGCAAGCTTGTCTCAGGGCTGTATTTGCATGAATAGGCTACAAGTTTTCCTAAGCCTGGAGGATCACCAGGGATAGCTGGGAAGGGGCCGGAGAGATTAGAAGGGGATAAAGCTCCTTCAGACACCCCATGGCACCACCACTCCCCCCCACTCCGAGTTCCCCAGACTAGGGCAAATCCCATTATGCTCTCAGCACTCTCCCCACCACACTGATCATGGCTGTAATTTCATCTTTAGTTCTGTGATTTATCCAAGAAGGAAGGGAGAAGGGGTTTGGCCTGTGGCTCACCATGTCCCCAGCACCTAGCATATCATCAGTACCCAATAAATTGAGGAGGGAAGGGAAAGAGAGACAGACAGCAACTGGGTCTCTGGGGGGATAACTCGAGGGTAGAGATGAAGGCCAAGCTCACGGAAGGATCCACGCAGAACTCAGGCTGCAAGGAAGGACATAGGCTGGACCCCTCAGTTTCTCCCACACATCCCCTCCTTTCCTTCCAATAGCTTTAAGACTCTGACCCAAATTCCCACATTCTCCACCTCACCTCCGGCTGCCCACCACACACACACACACACACACACACACACACACATTTTCCACCAGTACGACTTCCTGGCCAAATGCAAACCTCATGGATTGATTGTTCATCATTCATTCAAAAAGCATTGGCTGGGCACTATGGGTACCAGGATCCCAAGCACAGGAGACAGAGCAGTGGACAGGACTCAGGCCCTGTCTTTGGGGTGCACAGCCCAGCAAGAGAGAACTAAGTCACTGGGGATGACGGGGCAGGGGCCAGGTGCTCTGATGAGGGAAACACAGAGGAGCCGGGACACAGGAGGTCCACAAAGCAAGAAGAGCAGTCAGGAAGCTCCCAGACGCCCAAGCTGTGATCTGAGGAACAAAGGGTTAATGAGGTCAGGGGACTAGGAGAGGCTTCCAGGGGACACAACAGGACCTGCCAAGGCCGGGAGGTATGAGGGGCATAGCACGTCCCAGGAACTGAAAGAATCTCTTGGTCTGCAGCAAGTCTTCCTGGCCTGGTAGGGCCTCCTGATTCCTGGTTCTGGGCTTGGGATCTGCTGTGGGGCTGGTTCAAGCGGGGCCCTAACTCCCCATTCCCCCCTCCACCTACCCTTCCACTCACCTTGCCACAACACTCTCCCCCCCAAAAAACCAACTATGTATCTGCTTTAGACTCTTTGGTCAAGGAGAACATTCTCTTTTTTTCTCGCTTTTGTTCAAGTATTCAAAAACAGCTGAGAACCAAGCAAGAGAGAGATGGAGAGGGAGAAAGAGACAGAGACTCAAGACACAGAAGCCACCAACAAAGTCCCTGGGAGCAGAATGAGGAGACCCCACGACTATCTTCCTGACCTCCGCCCCTCTGCTCCCCACACCCTTTGGGTGCCCCTCTGGGCCTCTTTTCCACTCCCATGTGTTTTAATGCCTCCAGACAGGAACAGGGGAGAAGGATCCAAGATGGCAGGCTTTACCTCATGCTCAGGCCATGAGGGGCAAAACTTTTCTGGGTAATAGATGGAGGACATTATTTTCATTCCTTCCTTATGTCACCCACCTCCTTTCAGTCCTATCTTCCCCCTCCACTAACAAGAAAACGTCTTTACCTCTGAGGCCTTGAGTGACCCTGGGCAAGATGGTCTCCCTCTCTGGGCTCGTCTCCCCCCCTGTCAATGCAGGGTTGGTGGCTGTGCTATACGCATGGGGTTAGGGGCAAAATGAGGCAGTGAGAAGAGGGGAGGCGGGAGGATGACGTGCCAGGCCCCCACGCACACGCGGGCAGTAGCCCCTCTCTGCCGCCTGGCCTGGGTTGTCTCCCCCATTTCACTGAGTTGAGGCAAGGTGGCCTTCAGATTCCTCCCGCACATGCCAGAAGGCATGCCCTTGACTTGGTCTCTTGCAGTGACCTTGTTGCACAACACAGCTCTACCCTGGCCTGCACCCAGAAGCTGGACTGAACCCACCCCACATGGTTCTGCAGCCTAAGGGGTCACAGGCCTCTCAAGCCTCCTTCCTTCTCATCTGTAAAATGAATACTTCTTGAAGGTAAAAAATGAATGCTTTCCAACCATTGAACTCCTCACCACAGGCCTAGCCACATACACATCGATGTTCCCACTTCACCAAGGCAGAAACCCAGACTCAGAGAGGTTGAGTTCACCGCTCAAGATCACACAGCAAGCCACTGCCAGAACCAGGACTTGAATCCAGATACATCTGGCTCCCCAGCTCACGGACTTATTTTTCAAGTGTCTGGATGAAACTCTGCCTCTCAAGCCAAAAGAAAGCTTCACCTTGCTGTGTAGAGTTACTAGCAGGTGGTGGCTCCCGTATCATGGGGAGCCATGCTGAGAAGGGACCTTAAAGTTCAGGAGAATTTAATTTCCTTCATGAAAGGGCTTGGAGGTGGAGTAGGATGGGCCAAATCAAAAGCTGGCTTTGGGGAAGGCAAGAATCCAAAAACGCAGCTCCCTCCCCGGGCCCCAAGGATCTGCTTTCAGAACACTGTGTCTCCTGAGCTGACGTGAACGAGGGGCTTTGTTTAAGTGAGAGATCAGATCTCAGGGCCTGGGGCACAGGGAAAGGGCGGAGGAGCTGGAACTTTCCTTTTGTCTTCTAAAATCTAAGCGGAGGCCAATGAAAACAGCAAGACGGCCAAGGAAGCTGGGAGAGCTAGGCTTGGTCTTGGTGACACCTTGCTCCCATAGAAACTCAGGATAGGGCATGGGGTGTCCCACAAGGGATGTCATACCCAGAACCTGCAGAACTCAGCTAGAAACTGGGCAGTGGTGTTTTGGGGGACCACCCAGGAGTTTTTCCTTATGCGCTGGAGCTTTGGGGAATACTTTGGGGTCATTTGGGGGTTTATGATGTGGCAGATGTCTGTGGAGAGTCCTGCTGTCTGGACCTGCAGACCCCAAAGCAGCCAGTTTGTGAAGGGCCCATGGTGACTCTGTGTTCACAGCTGGGCAGCGCGGAGGGACGTACTGGTTTCCCAGGGCTGCCTAACCAGCCACCACAAAGCAGGTGGCCAAAAACAACAGAAATCTATTCTTGTACAGCTCCAGAGGGTAGAAGCCCAAAATCAAGGTGTTGACAGGGCTGTGCTCCTGCGAAGCCTTGAGGGGAGAATCTTTCTCTGCCTCTCCTTTAGCCTCTGGTGTCGCCAGCCACCCTTGTTCCGTGGCTTGCAAATGTGTCCCTCCAGTCTCTGCCACAGCCACTGGGTTAAGTGGCATTCTCCTGTGTCTCGTCTCCTCTACAGATAAGGACACTGGGCATACTAGCTTAGCGCCCGCCCTAATGACCTCGTTTTAACTTGATTACAAACAACTTCAAAGACCCTGCTTCTAAGTAAGGTGACATTCACAGCTATGGGGGGCTAGGATTTCAACATACCTTTTGGGGGCACAATTTAACCCATAACTGTGACCCTCACCCCACTAGACCTCTACTCTTCTTTTTAAGATTTATTTATTTATTTGAGAGAGAGAGCAGGGGGAGGGCAGAGGGAGAGAGAGAATCTCAAGCAGACTCCCCGCTGAGCACGGAGCCCGATCTCACAACCCTGAGATCATGACCTGAGCTGAAACCAAGAGTTGGAGCTTAACCGACTGAGCCACCCAGGCGCCCCATGGAATTTTCTCTTCCCAGGCACCTACAGGTATACGTTCGTGTAGCTGGAACCCAGTCGTCCACTACCAGCCGCTCTCCAGGGACCTGGAGTTCACTCTAGCTCCTGTCTGCTGCGGTGACTTCCCACACGGCAGAGCCAGCGCAAGCTATTTGGATTCAGAATCTAATCGTCTATTCTCCTGGGTAAAACCCTTGGGGAACAGATACATGGAAGTCCACAACCACCAGGCCCTCCGTGATCCCCCATCCGGCCTGGCCTCCTAGGAGGCTGGCTCTCACTCACTCTGCTTCTCCGCTGGGCCAAGCTCTTCCCCACCTCGGAGCCTTTGCCTCTGCTGTTCCCTCTGCCTGGTGCTCTCTTCCCTGGCTCTTCCCACAGCTGACCCATGCAGGGCTCAGCTCAGAGAGGCCTTCCCCACCACCCACCCCCCGCAGCTAAAGGATCCCCATTTTAGTCCCCAGTCTTGCAGTTGCTCACAGAACTTACCACCATCCGAAATTACCTTCTTTGGTTATTTAACTGTTTCCTATCTGGCTTTCCCAGCCAGCATGCCAGCTCTCCAAGGGCAGGGACCTTACCTGTCGCTCACTGTGGATGCTCCGTGCCTAGCGCACCTTGATATACAACAGGTACGAGTGGATGCATGAATCCAAGGCCGGCATCGAGGGAGCTCACTCCTTCATTCCATAAACATTTCCTGAGCATCTGCTCCAAGCCAGAGGCTGCATCAGGCCTGAGGAAGTCATCACCTGCTCAGGGAGACAGACAGCACGGGCCACAGCGACTGACAGGAATTAGGAAACACCACCCTTCCTCACAGGCCTTCCCCATCAGCTCCCAGAAAATCAGAAATTCAAATTCTGCTCTCTACAAATGACTCCGCTAAGATGGCAGGGTGGAGATGTCCCCAAGGACCAGCGGTCCCCTTCCTGATGTCCCAACACCCCCCCCCCAGAAGCCCTCTACCCCCCGCCCCCCGCACACAGCCCTGGAGCAGAGGAAGAAAAAACAAGATCTCCAAACGATAGGGATATAGTTTCTGCCAACCAACAGGTTCAGAAGTGGATGGCTAAGTCCGAGGGCACGTGCGGGCTCACCCGCAGGGGAGGCAGATTTCCTCTCTACTCTCTTCGGGTCTCCGGCTGAGCCTGAGAATCCAGTCAACCTGAGACAGATTACTAGGTGAAAAGCTTATGGATTTTTACAGGTACCTGAGAGTCCCCACGGGAAAACAAAGCCCCTGAAAGCAGGTTAGGCCCAACTACTTACATCCCAGGCTGAACAAAGAATAGCAATGGCGGGAAAAACACATGAAACACATGGAGAGATTAAAGGAAGACAAGGGTTATTCTAACTCTCGAGATTTGTTCGTGTAGATTTCTCTCTGCTCAAATCCCCATCTCTGGTGCTAAGAATGTTTCTCTCCTCCTGGGAAGGGGAGAGCATCTTTCACATGGGAGTTTTATCTCCTGCTTTTGGGGAGACAAGGGGAGATCAGAGCACCTCTTCTGTACCTGCCGCTTTTCAAGTGTCTTTAGCTCAAAATCATCCTTATGCCAAAGTGGCATATGTTGGGGTGGCCTACGCTGCCACCCTCCACACCTTTACTGGATAAAGCCAGACTGGTTACAGCAACTTACATGCCCAGGGGCAGTGTGTAAGTGTTCGAAGCCCCACAGCCTCACTGACACTTTCTACTTTTCAAGCTTTTTATGTGAAACTGACAGATATATACTGGTGTCTCATTGTGGTTTTCACTTAAAAAAAAAAAAAAAAAAACCAGCAGACTTGATTTAAAAGGTATCTTTAGATACCTATGAAATGTTTTCAAGCACTCATGGAGTATTTACAAATGTTGACCACATTGTAGGTTACAAAACAAATCCAGATACCCTACACATCATAGTGTAGGTCTACCACATAACTAAAGGACGGTAACAAACAAATAAAAAAGAAACTAAAATATATTTGGAAGACAGGGAACACTTCTAAATTGATCAAAGGTATCAGGAAATCCTCAGACCTGAATGGGGGTAAAGATACGGTTTATCAAAACACAGCTAACCCAGCATCTAAAGAGAAGTTTGCAGCCTTAAAAGCAGATAGAAAATAAGGCTGAGATATAATGAGCCAAATGTGAAAGTTAAGAAGTTGGTAAAAGAGGGGCGCCTCATGGCTCAGCTGGTTAGGTGACTGCCTTCGGCTCAGGTCATGATCCCAGGGTCCTGGGATCGAGCCCCGCATCGGGCTCCCTGCTCCGCAGGAAGCCTGCTTCTCCCTCTCCCACTCCCCCTGCTTGTGTTCCCTCTCTCATTGTGTGTGTGTTTCTCTCTCTCTGTCAATTAAATAAATAAATAAAATCTTTAAAAAAAAAAAAAAAGAGGTTGGTAAAAGAATAGCAGAACCAACTGAAAAAAAAATGTAGAAGTACCAAGAAAATAAAAATAAGAGCAGAAACAAAAGAAGGGGATACAAAGGGCCTTTGTATCTATGTGATACAAAGATCAATATGGCTCAAAGTTGGTTCTTTAAAGAAGATAGCAGATATGACTATGATATGGCCTGTAAGATTTTAAACTCTCTAGAAACATCTAGAAAATACTGTTGAACAACTGGCTCGAGGAGAAATAAGCAACCTGAATAGCTAGTAACACTTAAAGAAATTGAGCCATGGGTTAATCTTCCCATAGAAAAACCATGAGACCATCAGTTTTATAGGTGAGCTCTATTGAACTTTAAAGGAATTCATCAGTTTGGTTTTATACTCTGTCTTCGGAACAACAGAAAATAAGAGAACACTTCCCACCTCGTTTTATGATAAAATAAATTTGATATTGGGGCACCTGCATGGCTCAGTGGGTTAAGCATCTGACTTTTGATCCCGGCTCAGGTCTTGATCTCAGGGTTGTGAGTTCAAACCCCACATTGGGCTCCACTCTGGGTGTGGAGCCTACTTAAAATAATTAATAATAATTTTGATATCAAAATTAAACAAGCACAGTGAAAGAAAAGTAAATTACAGTCCAATCCACTCATGAATATTGATGCAAAAAAGTCCTAAGCAGGACTCCCAGACCCCCACAGCCAGGCCCTGGTGGCACCAGGATTATTTTTAGCCCACGGACTACACACATCTCCTCTCGGTGAGTCTAGTCTGACTCACAGCCAGCCAGCCAAGCAGCTCAGGCCTGAAATGGCCATGGGCTCCCTCACCTCTGAATCCTGCTATTCCAGAGCCAGGCCAGAGTAAGTGGAAAGTTCCAGTGGCAGTTTTTCCAGGGATGTCTCATCCAGGCTCAGCCAGGTTAACACTGGAGAGAGGGAGAGACGTCCCGGGGTGACTGCACTGGTCCAGTGCTGCCCCCTGGCACTGTGGTCTGCGGGCACCCCTCTGCCCCTGGCGGGCTCTGCCTGCAGCCGGGAGCCTCCGGGCAGTGGACCCCTGGCCTGCCTCCCTGGGAGCTGAGCCAGAGGCTGTCTGCGGCAGATGTGACACATACACCTCAGACTGGCCATAAGGGCTAAAGTTTCCTGCCTTTGCCTCCTGCCTGGCAAAGGCTCCACCATCTCAGAGCTCCTTGGCAGGGCTGGGTAGAGAGAGACTCCTTCAAAGAGCAGGGCCTCCAAGCTCACCCCTCACAGGGAGGTAATGGCCCTGGGGCTCAGGGAGGGGGGCATGCTTTCCCGTCAGTCCCTTCTTCATGGGCACATAGCATTCCCCTGATATAGACACACCACAATTTGCTTGAACAATCCTTGACTGGAGAGTGTTTTTTATTCTTCCACATCCTGGTAGATATATTTGGATGCACATCCTTTGTCCTTTCCTTGAGATAAATTCCACTTTAACGCTCATGGGTGGGTTTCTATGAAGTTGGGTGCAAAATGCAGTGTGCACCTGGGGATGGACAGACTTTCCAACAAGAGGGAACTCAGCCATCAGACCCTTAAGGGAACTTGTTTCCAAAGTCAAGAACCTCTGCTGCAGAAAACTCAACCTGCACAGTGTGACTTGTCTCCCCACTGCCTTCATCCTCACCCAGAGCAGTTTGACAACTTGGACCACAGGGCTTCCAACTTCATTTCAAGGAAATGATAATTTCCCATTTAGTTAATCATGATCACGTGACAGGCACCACCCAAGTACTTTACACGCACCATCCCACAACAACTCCACAAGGTTGGTACTGCTGTTATCCCCATTTTACGGAGGGGAAACTGAGCTCAGAGAGGTTAGGTAACTTGTCTAAGGTCACACAGCAGGTCAGTGGTGAACCCAGGAATCAGACTCAGGTGGCTGTCTCAGAGCTCACTCTCTGAGCCACGCACTTGCCCGAGCATCATCGCCCAGGGCTGGGGGGATGGCATGGCGGGGGCAGGGGGGCATCCCAGAGCCCAGGAAGCCAGCCCTGAAAGCAGCAGTCCCCTTGCTCCTCGCAGTCAAGCTGTCAAGGCACTCTGGGCTGAGTTTCTGTCAGAGTCCTGCCTATAGACAGATGCTGCAAAAAATCAAGAGTATCTGCCTGATAGAAGGAGCCATCCAGGGTGGGCGAACCTCAAGTTCTGGCTGGTCCTGCTGGAGCTCTGCCTGCTCAGGACAGCCCCGTCGCTGGGAGGACAAGTGTGGCTGTCAGAATTCTGCTGCTCTCAGACTGGGAGGAGGAAGTAGAGTGGAGGGAGAGGATGTTGGGGGCTTTTGGGCAGGACCCACTCTTTCCGCCACCTCCCTTCACACTGGGGCGCTTGTCTGCAGCAGCCCAAACCAAAGGCAGCACTATCCGACAGGAAGGAGCCAACTCCAAGGGCTCGGGGAAGGCCGGGGTTTCCTTGAGCGAAACCAGCCACAGCCCTGCCCACCACCCAGGTGGAAGGGAAGGTGGCCTTTGGAGATTCAGTAAGTCCTCTGGGAATCACATCAGTGATAAAGTTATTAACAGCTGTATTTATTGAGCAATTCCATCCGCTCGCCACCACTTTGATTATCCCCATTTTTGAGAGGGGAAACTGAGGCTGGGAGAAGCTAGGCAGGTGACAGAGCTAGGAGGTGTCAGAGTAGGAATCTACACCAAGGCGGTCCAACCCCAGAGCCTGCAGCCTTCTCCCTCGACCCCTCAGCAAACCCAGGGAACTTGGAGGAAAGTTCTAAATTAGGGCATCTGCCACCAGAGGGTGAGCTCCCCAGGGGCAGGGATCAGGCCTTCCTCCCCGGGACAGGCTGAACCTCAGGGATGAGGGATCCTGCACAGGACAAACCTGGGATCAAGTCCCTGTTGGCCACGTGCCAGCCGTGTGGCCTTGGGAGAGCCACTTGAAATCCCTGAGCCTCAGTTTCTTCACCTGTGAGTGACAACTAACGACACGATTTACTTTGGTGGCTGTAAGCAGCGAAAAGAATGATCTGGTGCAGTGCTGCCCAGATAAACGGACGTACGTGGTCATCATTAATGCTGTTATTTCCATCCTGCAAGTGACTCAGCTCTCTCCTCATGTTCATTACCAATCAGAGTCTCCGAGAGGGAATGGCCTCAGGTTGCCTAGCCCCCACCAAGACTACTAATGATGTCACAGTCCTATCAGCAGCTAAGATGAATCGACTGGACGCTGTGTGCCAGGCACTGGTTCTAATCTCTTTACCCGTGAACTGGACAACACGCAGCCCTGGGGGAGGGCAGCAGGGAGGAGAGGCAGAGGTGGCACGGGAAGGTCACACATGTCCCCACCAGCAGATTCCAGGCCCCAGTTTTGGCCCCACATCCATGTCTGAGACCCGCAAAATGACTTCTTCTCCTCACCAACCCCTCAGGTGGTTCTGAGTGAGGACCCAGTGTTGGGGTTGCTGCCAGAGGGCTAGAGAAACAGAAAGAGGATGCGGGGGGTGGGTATTGGGAGAAAGCTGCCTCCAAGCCACCCAGGCCTAGAGCAGGGCTCAATACTGTTTGTTGACTGATTAATATTTGCTGACTATAACGTAAATGA